GTCATATCTTTTAGCCTTTTGTTTCTGTGCATGAAATTTTCATGGCAAAGTTACTGGAGTGGCCTGCCAGTTCCTGCTCCAGGTGGATCACATTTAGTCAGAACTCTGCACTATGACCTGTCTGTCTTGGGTGTCCCTGCATGGCATAGCCCATAGCTTCTCTGAATTACTGAAGCCCCTTCGCCATGACAAGGCAGCAATTTGTGAAGGGGGATTTTCCCCTAGAGGTCTATAAAGATCTGTAGGACTCTTAGGAAGATGTTCATGTATCAGAATCCCGACCTGACACAAGGCTGAATCCAAAAGCAAACTTAGCTGCTGTTTGCTGGTGCTCACTGTACCAATAGGATATGTCCTTAATAAATCCATAAGGTTTTATGGTGCAGAAAGATAGTAACCTGAAGGTGACGGTGCGCAGGGCAGAGGTTTGCTTTGCTGCATTGTTAATTATTTCTATGTTAAATTATTTATTTTTTAATTCATTGTTTGGCTGTTACTTAACAGAGGTAAACACTGCTGCATGTAACCAAGTGATTTACCATGTTTCCCTGAAAATAAGACAGGGTCTTATATTAATTTTTGCTCCAAAAATTAATTAGGGCTTATTTTCAAGGGATGTTTTCTTTTTTTCTTGTACACAATCTATATGGTGGAGGGCAGGATTTCACTTAATTAGGGCTTATTTTGGGGGTAGGGCTTATATTACAAGCATCCTGAAAAATCATATTAGGGTTTATTTTCAGATTAGGTCTTATTTTCGGGGGAACAGGGTAGTAAACCAAATCTTATTCCATAAGATCCCAGTCATGTAATCCATATTCATACTGCCTCTAAGCGACTGTGAAATTATATGTTACACTCAACATGGGGTTGTCTGCAAAAATGTAAACTTTGTGTAGTTTTTTTTTCCTCCTAAGATATCACCACATCATTTAGGCACATCTGTTTCTGTTCTGCTGTCATCACAATGTGTCTTCACCATTCCTAGGACAGCGAAGGACGGGAAGTGATGGCATAAAACTGCTTGATGAACTCACAAATCTGCCTAAAAATTATATCACAGAGAAGGGAGAATTAGGCATCTGACTAATTCAGCAACAGCCCTGTGTTGTATATATGATTTTACCTTAAGATAGAATCAGGAGAGATCAATCTATCAGGCAAATGGGGTTCCACCCCACCTCCGACTGTGTCCTCCAGCTACCCCCATTCCTGCCCATTTCCTCACCAAAGACTGTTCCCTTCTTATGTGTACATATATGTATGAATACACACTTTTGTGTTTGATGTTTACTGTGACCCTGACTCCTGTGTTATGCCTTCTGCTCCACCAACCGAAGTGGGCACGAGCTCCTGATGGACAGGAGCAATGGATCTTCTTTCACCCTCAGTATAACAGAACTGTGCTTTTGTTTGCATATTATTGCTTTTGTTATAAAGGCAATGGTGCTATGTGTAAATTTGACACACACAAACACACACAGATATTCCTGCCAACAGAATCATACCGCTTGCCACCTCTGTAATCAATAGACAAATGGCAAAACAATGAAAATAATGTTTGCCATTTCTTTGTTGATGGCAGAGGTGGCAAGCAGTTTGGTCTTAGGCATGATAACAAGGGAAAAGTTATGAATGTTAGGCTGTAATTTAATTTTGGTTGGCTGATACCTCTAATCTGTCTAGACTGCAAGCAACAGGACAAGAGATAAAAATGGGAAAGAGAAGATAAAGCCTCCCATCATTTATACACATGGCTGTCTACCTTAACCATCTCTTCCACCAAGGCAGAACCTAACCAGTAAGATTAGAGCAGAAATGGAGAAGGCAACCAAGACGATGGGTTCCTGTGGAAAGGGCCTGAGGAATGGAGCACTCAAGATCCTTGTCTTCTCTCTGATTGCTGAGATAAAAATTTATTTATATGGCTGCCCATCCCACTTGTAAGACATCAATGCCAGTGGTCTATCTACCACTTTTCAGAGTGACATGCCTCAAGCTGCTGTTTGAGAGGGCGCTGATGCTAGGTGGCACTGTCACAAAGTGGATAGATGGCAAGACCATTCCTGTCATCTCCTTGGGTGAAGGATGATGCTATCCATAAAGGAAATGACATTACAGGAAAGAGCTGGAAGGCTACCAACATTCCTCTGTTTTATCACTGTTGTTGCTTCCATGATTGTATTTTAAATAAAAAATCCCCCTGTATATCACATTTTGTATTCAGTACCCTGCACATCTGTTATTTCCACTGTCACTGATCATAGCTTTAAAGCAATGTAATATGTGAGCTGAGCTGAAAGATATTGGCCAGTTAGGTTCCAATAGAGAGCTTATGGCTGAGGTAGGATTTGACTGAAAGATTTCTTGACCGACAGCTTGCACACACAACCACTGTGTTACCAGAACTCTCCACTGCTATAGAAAAATTCAGTAGCTGCACCTTTGACAATATTACACCCAAACCAGCTATCACAGACCATATCAGAACATTCTACAAGAGATGGTAGTGATGCTCTCTACCTAGTGGCCTGACAGGCAGTTATAATTAAATCCTACTTTAGCCATACATAAGCCTTCAACCCAATAAAAGAACAAGGAAAAAACATTCTCTGCTAAGTCACATTTTTTGGAAAAACTATTAGGTGAAGCAGGACACAAATATATACTTCCTTAATGCTGCCTTGTTTTATTCTTCTTTTTGACTTATGTATTCTTATGGTACAGATGAACAGTGTCAACAAAAGTGAAGCTGGTGAATGCTGAGATAATTCAGTAATGCTATGTGGAAGGAAATGTGCATATAGTGTTTTCAAGGAAATGTGAATTTTGAGGGGAATGAGGAACTAATAATCTTATTTACTATTAATCTTCCTGTGTAACACCCACCCGCTTGCCTCCCTCCATGACATGCCCCTGGAAACAGACAGACATTTTGGTTAATACAACTGCCACACACTCCCTCCCCATGAAACAGAACAGGCTGTAAATGGCCTCATCCTAAAGCATCCCACAAAACACATACATGGCTACAAAGAAGCCCTCTGAAATCATGGAGGAGTGGTTAAACTGTTGTACTGCAGCTAAAACTGTGCTCACGACCCGGGGTTCAATCCCAGGTAGCCGGCTCAAGGTTGACTCAGCCTTCTATCTTTCTGAGGTCGGTAAAATGAGTACCCAGCTCGCTGGGGGGGGGGGAATGTGGGGCCTGCATAACTAACTTGTAAACTGCCCAAGAGGGTTTGAAGCGCTATGGGGCGGTGTATAAGCAGCAAGCTTTGCTTTGCTTTTTTGCTTTGCTTTGCTCTGCTTACCTCTGTTGAGAAATATATGAAACTCTCTTTTTTAAAACCTAAAACACTATATGTACGGATAAGAGTCTATTAATTGAAAAAGGTCTTAAAGAAGAGTGCAGCCAGGTTTTAATAGTTCTTTATTATATGTGCATATATTTATTGCCCTTGTTCTATGTCACGTTTTACTGGGAAATATTTTATTAGTGAGACAGAAGAGCAAGCACCTAAGCGATAAATGAGTAGCAGTAATCTTAAGTGTACACCATGTGGAGCTCATTTGCTTTGTACCTTCCATGTATCATTTTGCTTCAGCTAGCTAGTTTTCATGCTGGCAGGGTCAGGATACCTGTGGTTGTCTCCAGATAAGCCTGCTATTATAGGAGAGAGGGCCCAAAGCCACCAACCTTGCACCCAATTATGAGTTTCAGCATTCTGAATAAGGATTCTTATTCAGGATGCATTTGCCTTGACTCAGCTTTTGGGTACTTAGTATCTCTCCAGTGTGTGCCATAGCAGCAGCAGCAGCTGCCCAACCTTGCCCCCAGTTGCTGAAGGCAGCCTTTCCTCATCCACAGACTGCTGTGTCCAAGTTAACTTTGCTCCAATTTTTCCTAGTAACGGTGTCCTCCTGCCTCAGCCGTGGCAGGAACGTGCACAATGAGGGTTAACTTAAATCTGAACTAAACTCCAAGCCACACCATTGGAAATCTTCCCAGCTAACTCACCACGACAGCAAAGAGTTATGTGAGGCAAATGGTAAAAACAGGATGGACCTCTTACAGAAAAGAGAATCTGAGGAGACTCTATTCACTTCTGTTTCTACAGGAGACAATCCTGCACCAGGAGTTTGCACTTCAAAGAAAAAATCTTCGGTGAGTAGATTTGGCATTTTTTTTGCTTCTTTTGACTTCCCTGGAAGATGCTTGAGCTTTCACTGTTTCCCTCCCTCCCTGTTGTGTTTTGGCCTCAGACAAACATCGTTTCTTGCCTGCGGTTGGTATTAGCATGAAAAGTTCAGAATGAATGGCTGTCTTGCTAACCTGCTTAATCTAGCAAAAAAAGCGGCTCAGACAAGGGGAGGGTGCGTTGAACCAATGGTTTCTCTGGGAACTCCGACCACTGCACTTTTTTTGGTTTTTGTCTGGAAAATGCTTTCCAAGAATTCTCTGTTTCTGAAGTAAAGAAGAATAGTATATATGGGTGGGTGGGTAGTGATTCTATAACATGGCTTAGTGTATTATAGGTATAGAGGCTGTTCCCAAGTTTTGCTATGCAGCAAACTATTTTTTTAATTTGGGTTCCTACTCTTGTCACTTTTCCCACATTCTTTAAAAAGAGAGAGAGATTGCAAATTATAGTTTCTGAACCTTTGAGCTTTTCCAAATCAGACCTCCAGCGTGTGAGATCTGCTACAGGTTTATTGGAACTCAAAGCCCTAGCAGCTGTAGTCAAGTTCAAAATAGTGTATTGACGAAAAGGAGTCGATATACATTATGCTGACTATCACAAAATAGGCAATGCTTGGAAAACTTCACTTTTTTCAACCACTCCTACAATCCCACAGCTGACATAGGAAGTTCTAGGAGCTGTCCTTCAAAATCAGCCACTTTCCCAGGCTCTGGGAATGGTGAACACCTTGGTGCATTTTCACCCATGAATTTCCTTGTAAGTGCTGCAATTGAATTCACAGCGCTTTCACTGAAAAGTCTTCTTCTGGTTTCCTCTATGCTGCCATTGTTTCAGCGGCTTGATTTGTCGGGGTGCCAGATGCTGGACTTGCTATGATTCTTAAATTATTAGGACTCAGAAATCCCACTGATCCACTCCAGATTACATAGAAATGTACCTCTAGATCCTGATCCACCTTCTGCCCACCCCTGTTTGAGATCACTAAAAAGAACAGGCGGGTTTCTCCTATCCCTGATTCAGCACCAGAACTATGATGGACTATGTCACCATATCTTGCATGCAGATGTAGCTACCAGAACAGTAGATTTTAGTCAGGCAAAGACAGTTTGGTGCTTGAGGTGGAGAAACCAATAAATGCCTCCCAGCCACCTAAGTCAAAATACATCCTGCCAAGTCATTTTAAGCACATGAAGAATGTCCCATGAGCACCTGTCCTCTTCTGTAAGAATACAGTAGTAAATTAAATAATTAATAATTCCCTGTGTTTTCATGCCGCCTGAAATCTGCTGCCTGAGGTGGCTGCCTCACATAGCTTAAGGATAGGGCTGGCCTTGAAATTGGTGCAAGATGTATTCCTTAATGTTATTGTGATGTGTTTTCAAGTCACCTCTGACTTCTGGAAAGCCTATGGATGAATGATGTTCAAGATGTCCCAGCAATAACAGACATGCTTGCAAACTCAAGGTTGTGGCTTCCTCTGTTCCTCACTTTAAAGAGAAAAACAATTAAGGTAGATAAGTACCTGAGGATGGGACTGCAAATGGGGAAAATGTACTCTCCTGATCTCGAACAGTAAAAATTACAAATATTATACCAATGTACTAACACTGAATTCAGTGGGAGTGTGACTTCCTGTTCCTAATGTGCAGGATAGGAGTCCTGTAGTGATAAAGAACAAGCAGCTCCTTTCGCCCTAGATGTTTAGGAGTTAATGATTGAAGACTGTCTTTCTGTGATTTGCTTTGGACTTCAATGCAAGAGAAGGAAAAGAGGGAGATGGCGAGAGAGAGAAGGAAGAAATGTGAAAACCTGAAGTTCCTTCTCTATCTCCCTGGGAAACTTGCCAGGTGAACTTGCAGATGGAAACTGTTCAGCTCACAGAAGCAGACAAATGTTCCTTTTTATTTGGGCAGGATTCCCCTCCCCAGACGTGCATACACTCTCTCTCTTCCAGGATCAATTCACTTCCCCCTCCGCGTCCTCTAGGGCAGTCTTCGCAATTTACTCAGCTGCACACACTTGTTCTCTCTTGTCTTGTTGTCTCATCTGATCCTTGCTCATTGAACAACAACAACACCTCTTCAAAAAGAGACAGGTGAAGCAGCAGCACAAAATGAACCCTGCTCGTGAATCCTGCCCCCTCCCACTGCTCAGGGTTAACCGAGAGACACACCCCACCTAAAAATAATGAATTACATCCATGACCATTGCAGGCAAAAATAGTAACTTTGTTCCAGCTGGTTACTGCAAAATATTACTTATGACAAATATAACCTTGATAGAAAATATAAACCATTAGAAATTTTGTTTTCTAACTAGTTTTTAATAGTAACAAACATTGGCTAGAATCCTGTTGCTTATTTTAGCCAGAATTGCACCAGCAGCTTAACTTTTGGTGATGAATCCCTACACATTGAGAAGGCAAAGTAGGCATTTTCTATTGCACACAGAATCAGTGACTGGCTATGATGACTTCTTCACTTGTGGCCATTGGCCACTGAAAGCTACACCTCTGTTGTGATGCTTGGTGAGTGTAACTAATAGGATTCCAAGTAGTAATTTTAATAAAGCTTTTTTTAAAAAAAATCACATGATTTTGCACTAGAAACTATGTTCATATTGCTAGTAATAATACAAATTGTTACATATGATTGCCTTGCCTCTTAGACAGCACTTGTAATACAGTCATGCCTGTCATATTTGGAGATAGAACCCCATTTTCCTCAGAGCAACATTCCACGGCTTCAATGGTGGGGAAATACCACAATCCAACAACAGAGGCACTTTTGTGGGGTGCAGAGAGATGGCCTGTGCAGTGAATGGGCAGTGCTTGCATGATCATTGTTTGTAAAAATGCTCTTCTGGAAAATCTCTCTGGTTTAAAACTTGACCAGATTTCACCTCGATTTACGAATGACCCTACTTGCGAGCAATTCAACTTATGAACCCGCCCTATAGGGGAAATAAGGACTCGACATACAAACTTCCCTCGAGTTACGTACAGGGGAAAAAGTGCCCCCTCCCTCCCCTTAGAGGCTTCTGGAGGGGGAAAAAGGGTCAGAAACTTAAAAATAAATAAAAGAAAGTCACTTACAAGGCCTTGGTAGCTCCCAAACAGCAGGAAAAAGAGCAGGAAACAGTTAAAAGCCCACACCAGAAGGGAGCCTGGCAGCAATTTTGTGCTTCCCCCCCCCGCTCCTGCACCCTCCTCTCCCCGCCTATCAGCTGATGGGCTGGCTCTGAGGAGGTTTGGGGAGGCTTGCTCAGCACCTAAAAAGCCTGCCTGTGTGTCTTTGTGCTGAAAAAATCAACACAACATGCTTTAAAACATGATTTAAAATTGGCTTCGTTGAAAAAAAAAAAGATTTCTAAAGTGCTTTGCAAACTGTTCCCTGCCTTCCTCTTCGTTCCTGAACCTAAGGGAAGAAATAAAAAAAATATCCCCCTCTAGTGGCAGAAGGCGGAATAGCAGCTTCCCATTAGTTTCTATGGACGGAAAAGAGCAGATACAGATTAAATGGTTTTCAATGCATTCCTATGGGAAATGCAGATTCGACCTAAGAACTTTTCGACCTAAGAACCACCTTCCAATACGGATTAAGTTCGGATTAAGTTCGTAAATCGAGACCCCACTGTACAACTTCCGTCTATGTGCACCTTCACGGACTGATGCAGGAATACATTTGCTTTGCCATCTGTTAGGAAAGGCGCTTCTCCATATTCTCATTCTCTAGCCAGGCCAGGATCCTATATGGACATTAAGCAGGTTCAACCTGTTTATGTAAGCAAATTTCCCTTTTTTAACATTTGGACAGGGACACATCCAATGCCTCCTTGAGCAAATGGTTCCCAATTCTGTTGGCTACTGCTCTGTCTACGGCCAGAAGTTCAAAATGAGCTTTGCAGATACTGGAACAGTGCTGCCTTTTTCAGGCTGCTGGCAGGTGCATCCAAGATCCAGCAGAAGTTTTCTGCCCATTCAGAATTTTATAGGATCTCAGATAAAAATACATACAAAAATGTGATATGCTAAGAAAGGCACTTGCTGAACTTGTGTACATGTAGCAAATCTTTCCTACAAAATGTGCCTGGAAATACATTCACATTTTTGTGTAGGCATAAAACAAAATCATAGTGGTATAGAAACTAGATGAAACAAAATTAAGATTAAAAAATTAAATGAAAAAAATGGAGGAAATGAATGCTAGATTTTATAATAGGGTTCAGAGAGTTGAAACACACAGCTGTGGAACTTCAGTGTTGAGAGTTCAGTTCCCCACTCTGCTTCTTGGGGAAGAGCCTGCGCTGGCATTGGGCAAGCTGCAGAGCTCCTGGAAAGAGGGAATGGCAAGCCACTTCTAAGTACTTTAGACTTGGAAACCCCTGAGAAGGGTCACTATGAATCAGAATCAACTTGATAGCACACAGATATTCTTATAGCAGGGAACAGCTGCATGTAAACCTTAACATCTGGAAGTCTTTCTGTTTTAAAAAGTTCTGTTTGGGTTTTTTTAGACATGACACAGAAAGCCCTCTGTAGTAAGAATATTAGAAATCAGAACCCCAAAACATGATGCTAACCTCTCTCTGTATAATTCCAATAGATGCAACTTGGGAGAGCGCCTCTTGCCCTGATCCCATTTCTCCCATCAATACCCCAAGTACATTTGCTTGAATTAGTCTAATGGGTCAATCAGGCTTCTCCAGAAGCCTGCTGAAGACCATTAGACCATAAACGTAGGAGATGCAAATCTAACAATGCTCTTCACATTGGCAGATTTGGGCCTTTAATTCACCTAAACAATTAGTTCCTGTCATACCCATGTCAGCAACACCAGATATATTGCTTTTCCACTGTCAGGTGGCTTTTTATTTTTCTGTAGGTTATGTTGTCTCTTCCTGTCCCAGGATAACACCACAAAATGATGCAACAACATTCTGGGGAAAAAGCCAGCAGGCATTGTTCCCTTGTTGTACAGTGAAGCCTCACAAAGTTGAGGACAAAAGTAAGAGCTTGGCTCCAAAAGCAGTACTACTGTCACTTCATTTTGGGGCACTTAGTTATCCTTTTGCATTTGAAATCTGGAGAGCTGACTGACATGAAAACGATTGTGTTTCTTCTCCCCCAATTTTTTTGCCCTGTGGCATAGCACCCTCTGCAAGATACTGGATAAGTGGGGTCCACATACAGTATGTTGAGATTTGTTCCTTAGTAAAACTGATAAATAAATGGCACTTTCTAGAAAACTATTGCCATTCACCATTATCCAGCAATGTTTTCCAACACACACAAAGCTGTTTTGGTTTGTTTTTCTGTGCTTAGCAGCCATATTTCCCTCCCCCCCCCATCTTGAGCCACATTATTATTGTTTTTTATTCTATTCTATGTTTTTATTCTATGTATTATTGTTAGCCGCCCAGAGTAGACTTCCGTCTAGATGGGTGGGGTATAAATTTAATAAATAAATAAATTCACACAAGTTGTACTTCTATCAAGGGATGGTAAGAGAAATTCTCAGCTCCCCCTTCATACAGAGCCCTATTTGCATTTGCATTTGCATTTTCTACTTCTGTTCTTCTGCATCATATCCAATCCCACCCAAAGTTATGTCTGATGTATCTGGAAAATACATATAGAAGGGAATATATACTCATTCTCTGACTGGCATTTGCTGTTTGTGTTCCTCACCAATCTTTGAGCCAAGACTGTATTTATTGTAAGCCTTCTGTTTTCATTCAAATCCTTCACCAGGGACACCTGCCTCTTCAATTTTGAAATACAGGTACATATATTTGGTTCCGGGATTCGCAGCTCTGAGCACGTTGTTATGTCAATTGTACATATGATCCGAGGACAGGTTTTTACCTGACACTACCTCTTTCTGGTTTGCTTCTTTAGAAAATATGTGGTACCAATTACCCTCTCAGCATCGCCTTCATTGTGGTGAATGAGTTTTGCGAGCGCTTCTCCTACTATGGCATGAAAGGTGTGTGTTGTATCTTTCATAATTTCTCATCAGCTTTCCTGCAGATTATTTGCTCGTTTTCCTATTTGTTCTGCATTTAGTCAGACTGAGGGCAGCAGGTGGCGGGAAGATGGTGGCAAAGATATAATAGCAGGCATTATTTGAACAATTCCACATCAAAATCTTTGCCTTCACCTTTTTAGGAACCTCAAATACCTCAGCTGTCTCTGATATATACATGTGATACACTAACCTTACAGACTGAAAGGTTACAAACATGGCACCTGAGTGCCCACCATCTTCTGGGGACAGTTAACAGAAACAAAACTGGAATACTGGCAGCAGGGGGCGAAGGCAACCATTTGTAGAGAATGGTTGGATAGATAGGGAGAGAAAAGAAGGAACGAGAAAGGCTTGTTGGTTGGGTATCAAGGGTTGCCATCTTTCCCTCTTTTGTAGGCTGTATGTTTTTATCAGGGGCATTACAACCAATTTGGTCACTGCTTCACTTTCATAGCAGTGGCCTCTTTAATTCCTGGCGAAACCCCAAAACTTCTCTTAAGAGGGGAAAAAGGGGCCCTGCAATCATTGTGAACTCCCAACCATCATTCCCGGAAAACTGTAGTGTGCACACAATGGATGAAATACATTATTTTGTTTTTCTTGTGTTTTCTCCCTCAGCTGTTCTGACTTTATACTTCCTCTACTTCCTCCACTGGGATGAGAACACATCCACCTCCGTCTACCATGCCTTCTCAAGCTTGTGTTATTTTACACCCATTCTTGGTGCATTCATGGCTGACTCTTGGCTGGGAAAATACAAGTAAGGATAAAATGCATTGCTTCAAGCACATGGACTTCACATGGTTCTCTTCACCCCCTGCAATAAGAAAGATGGTTAATTAAAAAGTTAATACAGAGGACCATATTTTTTTTAAAAAAAGTCTTCTGCTATACTTCCTCATAAACGATTGCTTTAGTTTGCCATTGAATTTTTGTGTAGCACCTCAAGAAAGCTTGTGACTAAAGTATGCCATGTGTTTTTTGGTTAAATTATAATAATATGTCAGGTGCTTTTTGGTTACACTAGCATGAAAATACAAATATGTGAATAAGTAAGATGAGTTTTGTACATTGAAGTAATTTATATGTAAATGCCTCAATATGCAACATTTCATACTTCCCTGTCATTTTTGGTAGGGTCTACCTGAACCTGAGGCTCTTTTGATTAAATCCTAAACTTCAGGGTTGGGGGAAGGAAGAGAAAAAGAAAGAGTTGGAGAACTATGCAGAATATCAGCACCTTGTCAGATCTGAAACCCACAGAGCATATTATCTTTATAGAGGACAGACCTCAGGCTTTCACATCTAACTCTCTACTACAACGTTTTTGTACCATCTAACAAGGCAGAGTTCTGGAGAACTCAAAAACTTGCATCCTCTGTAAGGTGGCATGGAGATTCTCTGAGTGGTGGTCCAAAAATGTTGCTTTCCCAAGTTCCAGTTACACCTGTTTATAGATTAAGACATATTCCTGTGCCTCCAAATAGATATACTTGTATGTATCCAGAACATTATCTTTATGGACTACATTCTGTATACATTCAGAAGGAGAGATAAGCTGATTTTCTTTGCACATACTGTACCTACACTATTCCTTGAGAAAATGGAGGTGAGAGAGGAGTCTTCTATTTAAAAGGACTATTTAAGCAGTGAGGAAACCAGAGTCATCCTTCAGTTTACTTTATTGCATTCTTTGCATTTAAACATATTTGCTCCGTCTGGCTTGCTTCTAGTAGCAGAGCTCAGCTGGGAGAAAAGGCCTCAAAGCAATGAATTGCAAGTAAATAAGATTCACAGGCCCAAAACGTATAGCCTGTCATAACACAAATGGCGTAACTTTGGGAGGTGACATTTAAAGTAAGAAATTAGTCTGTCATTATCCCTTGCATTCTGAGTTATGTAACCCGGTATGCGAGAGACTGATAATGCCTACTAATAATTTCTATGTTGATTTCTTAACCTGGGGAAATTGGCCTCCAAAAGTTACACCAATTGTGTAGCAACATAAGAGAATTTTGGTAATAGGAAGTGCCATCTCTCACATGGCCCATCTAATGTAAAACAAACATAGGGAAACCTCCTAGCATTCTGGATATGCACCTTCCAGCCAGTGTGATAAATGGAAGGGTTATATGAGATGTAGTCAGAAACATCAGAAATTCCAACATTCACAACCTTTCATATAAAGAGTAACAGGCATCCCCAGCATGTTCTTAATGACTCGGGCTAACATGCATATGAAATCAAGCCCTGTCATGTTCAGGCCTCATTGATATCAAGTGAAGCCCATCTTCACTGGGGCTTTTTATTCATGTGCATCAGAATCATTTGGCTTCAGTGGGATTTCAGTTCCATTAAATTTCTTTGGATTGTGGCTGTAGACAATGATAGTATTGGATACAAATCATCAAATGCTGTTCTAAAGCATTGTTCAATATCTGTGCTGCTCAGTCTGGCTTGCTTCTAGTATCCAACCTTAGCCGGGAGACCCTTGGGGGGGGGGGTCTTTTTTTTTTTTTTTTTTTTTTTTGGCTAGGTGATCTGGATGACTTACAGGACTACCGCACAAGGACGGAAATGCAACCAACCACAACTGGAACAGTAGTCTGTATCAGTGCTGCCTCAGCCATAGCTTTTCTCCAGTGCTTTGAAGAATGAGGGAGAAAGGAGAGTTACAGTTCTGGAAGAAATCCAGATAATTGGGGGGGGAGGGTGTTTGAAATGTTTGTGCCTTCCCTATCAGGAAACACAGGCACACATTCTGTTCTCAGATTATAAATCATGACACTGCCACTAGCTGATAGCGTTTCCCTACTTTTTTCCCCTCTCTATTTCCACACAGAACTATCATTTATCTCTCCATTGTTTATGTTATTGGGCACGTGGTCAAGTCTGTTGGGGCAATCCCAAGCTTTGGAAACCATATTGTTCATGTGTAAGTAATGAAGAAATTGGTCTGCCGTGTTTTGATAAGGTTATTATTAATTAACTTGTGTTAATGTAAGCAGTGTTCGTATGCACCTTGCAGGAAGCATTGTTGTGGACTCTGTCAGGCCTTTTGTTATATCAGCACAATGTGTTTTATCCCCACCTTGTCCACACATTGCAGCCATGAAAGCTGCCATAGCTTTGTCTTAGAAAACCCACCCATCTTGAGTCTCAGGGTGCGATGCATCAAGGTTTGTTTCCAGCTAACCTCCTCTATTCATTTCAGTGGCAAGAACACTAGCTTGACAAGACTTGAGTCAGGAGAAGGCAGTTCTCTACTGAGCTCCCGAGGAAACCTTCCTCCAGAGTCATAAGCAGGAATGGCTAAGATACCCATTGACAGCAGCCATTATTTATTTTCAGAGCTGCGAAAAGGTTTTATGTTGCTTAATGCTAAAAAGGACAGGCCTGAAAAAAACAAACCAAAACGAAAAGGAAACCACAGGTTTTATGTGTGGTGTGCTAGATGGACTTCTTAGTCTCAGCTACAGCAGACTCATTGAAGCCAAGATATTTGCATAGGTGTTGATCTACCAGTCATTTACTGAGTGAGTAGATATTCTTTAGCTGGGACTAGCAATTGGATTTAGGCCTATGCGGGGTAATCTCAAAAGTGGAAGGCATATGCAGGTAAAAAAGTGCAAAAGCCTTATCATCTGAGCATCCAAGCTAATCATACAGAGTTTCCTACTTGCCTGCCAGACATCATATGATACAGTGCTGGATGATGAGTAGTTCTCTACATCAGCCATTCTCCACCTTTGGGGGGGGGCGGGGGCTGCAACCAAACACAATATGAAAGAAATATAGGATCAATCAGGAGTGTATAAGACGCATAATGAACCTTATAAGGTGGTTATGAAGAATTGTTTCCAAACTGTGGCTCCCTTCAAATGTGTCAGAGCCCCCCAGGGGGCCATATGCCCCCTGTGGAGAGTGACTGCTCTAGTTCTTTGGGGATTCCAATTCCCAGTCAGCACCACTGGTGTTTAGAGATTATAGGAATTTTAGTTGAGCAACATCTGTTTCTGGCATATTTGTCTAAGCTTTGGAAGGGGAGCATCTCCTTGAGTTATTTGCCATAAAAAGCTATTCCTCACCATCAGCTTTAATTCTTTTACTCCTCATTTGCCATTAAGTACAAGAATGCTGCACCTTTATTTAAAAAGGGAGGAAAGCATGCTACTTGTACATAATGTGATGTATATGGACATAGGCCCACTCACGATATCACTGTGGATGGACAGGAAGACCAATTCACAAGACATTGCAAGGTTGAGGTCCATGATGCTTATCTCAACATTAGCTAAATTAAGAAATAAAAGAACTGGCCAAAATGCAACTGGTTTTTTTCTCCAGAAAGCATTGGGGGTGGTGGTGGTGGAATACTTTCCAACTCAATGGAGAGCTGGAGTGGGACAAGAATATTCATTCATTCATTCATTCATTCATTCATTCATTCATTCATTCATTCATTCATTCATTTCTATGCCGCCCACTCTATCCAAAGTTCTCTGGGCGGCTGGTACTGGTAGGATTCTGAGAATACTGGTAGGATTCTGAGACACACAAAGAACACAAGACTGACAGATTTATACACCCACAGTTTAACTGCATATCACACATTACTCTGTAGAATACCATGATTGTCAGTGTTAACTTGGTACATGTGCATTAGGAACTGCAACAGAAAAGGGATCTGGAAAATCCTCTTTTAGTGCATAGAACATGCTGAGCAACAAGCAGAATCCTGGACTTAATTAATTCATTTTTAAAACCACATTCTCCTCTTCATACTATTGAATGGGATTTATAAAACCAGGATGATTTACCAACATTGTATTTTAGACAATGATTCTGTATCTTATGTTGTTTAATTCCTCTGCCCACTGTTCTGAGAAATGTTGGTATTGGATGGTTTAAAGGTGCCATAAATAAAAACCTGAGACAAAAATAAAAGAGCAAGAGCAGAAATCCAAGTTCCATCTCACAGATAACCTCAGTTAATCACTTTGAACGGCTCAGTTCTCAAAGCCTGCCTAAATAAATAAGATTTGCAAAGCTTCCTAAATCTCATTAAAGAAGCACATTAACAGCCTTCCTTTGGCAACTTACTCCAAAGCTTCATTCCAGAATGTAAGATGTGATTCTTTTTTCCCCCCTGAATGACCATATCAGGCATGAGGGCTCATTTGTATTTCATCCTAGTGGTATGAGATCAACTTCCAAATGGCAGAATCCCAAGATAACTACAATAAGAATGTGAATATAGCAAGGTTTCCCCAATTATTTGATACATTTCTCCTTAGATTAAAATTAAAATTACATTATTATTTTTCCCTGAATTAAAATTGACGAGGCATTACGACTAATGTCTATCCCAAGAATTTGTACGCTTTGAATGGGCTTCCAAGTAACTTCCAGAACTGTTGCAAGCTTCATGAAATTCTGTTCTATCCCCGTTCTTAATGCTTCTGAATATCTTGCATAGCAGGTTACCGGGGGGGGGGGCAGTGGTTCTCAATCTTGGGACCCAGAGGATCTTGGACTAAAACTCCCAGAAGCCTTTACCACTAGTTGGGCTGGCCAGGATTTCTGAGAGTTGTAATCCAAGAACATCTGGCCACCCATGTTTGGGATCCACTGGCATAGAGTATGCCAGAGCTTTTGCTACATTTTCCACATGTTCCACCAACAACCAGCAGGGCTGGCTCCTTGCTTTCCCTCTCCCTCTCAACATCTGCATCTACTTGGCCCTCTTTCTTGTGTGAGTCTGAGAAATCAATCTCACACAGGACTTTCCAGTCCCAAACAGCACAGACATAGACCCATCTAAAATGGCAACTTGATTCTCCTCCCCACAGGACACACTGAAGTCTCTGACAGGAGATTTTGAGGTAGAGGGAATCACTGAAGTGTAGACTTCCACAGAGTGGGGATATCTTACTTAGTTGCTGCTTTCTTTTCCCAGTAAGTAACTTTTGGGTGAAAGGTAGGAAGGGCTCATGCAACAGATTTCACATAAGAGATTCTTCTGTTTTACACTTGCTTAGCCACTGGGTGCAGACTTGCCTCAGGAAAGCTACTGTTAAAAAGCTAGTGTTGAGTGCAGGTAAGCCCCTTCAGGAACACACTACAGTAGTTGTATCTAATGAATGCTGGGTAAGGGGACTTTGCAATTTCCTCTCCCTCTTCTGTGGTGCTGAAGTTTTTATCCCTGTTTGAAGGGTACTGTCAATGACTGGACTGACTCTGATTGCTCTCGGAACGGGAGGGATCAAACCCTGTGTAGCAGCGTTCGGTGGAGACCAGTTTGAAGAGGAGCATGTAAGATTCTATTATTTCTATTCACCATGTTGTTTCTTAATACTTATATTTTCAAGACTTTCTATATATTTTCATCCCTGGTCACGTGCAATGAAATGGAGGTGCATTGGTCACTCATCTATGGCACAGAAATGCCAGCAACAGAATCCAGATAGCATCTGAGAGCCAGACTTTTCCTCCATCTGTTCATACACGGTGGTTCTGGACATTAATCAAAACCTCCAACAAGATGTCTTTCCATATTTTGGGAACTTGGGAAGCTCCCTTATACTAGATCAGAACATCTAGATGTACTGTTTACTCTGAATGGCAGCTCTCTTTGTGTTCCTAGGCACAGCAAGGTCTTTCCCATCACCTTCTGCATGCCTAGTATGTGGTTTTCCACAAAATGATGGTCCCCACCACCAGCACATTTTTAAATAGCTATTAAACTCCCCAAAAGACAACTTAAAGCATTGGCTCAGTAGGACTGCCTATTCCTTGGAGTGTCATAACAACAGAGTTTTTATGTTTGTAAGGGAACCTTTTAGATTACAACTCCAGCCCTCTCCCAGATAGCACATGGCCGCTTGGGCTGAAGGATTTGGGAATTATAGACCAAAACAATAAAGAATAATGCTTTCACGTTCTGCCTTACAGTTAACAGAAGTGATAGGAATCTTCAATGTGGATGATCCTCCAAATAAAAATCACACATAAAGCTGATCAGCAGAAGCCTGTTTTGTATTGAAATGTCATGCTTCTTTGCCTAATTGCACTTCCCTACTCAAGAAAGCTTTTCTAACCACCTTGTCCACTTCTTTTACTCTTGTTCCTGATGCATTACTAGCTGCATACTGAGTATGGGAATGTATTCCTACTGTACACGGGGGTATATGAGTTATTAGAATAAAAACTTATGAGTGTGTTTTAGAAAGTATAACCCAAAGAATCAAAATGACCAAAAATTGTGATCTAGTGTTACCAAATCCTTAAAGAAACACCTTCTGTCCTTTTGCAAGGTCCCTATCTAAGTACAAACCACACTCATTATCTCACTTGACTTGTTACAACAGCTAAATAGATGGGAATGTTCAACAATGCACCTTCAGGATAATAATAATAATAATAATAATAATAATAATAATAATAATAATAATAATAATAATAATAATAATAATAATAATTTATTGTCATTGTAAGTATATATTGCACATCTTCATCACTGTCCAAGGTTGAACTAGCCTTCGATCCACTTTTAATAGTATTAAATATTTTTATTTATTTTTAAGCAAATCATACACAAAACTATACATCAAACAATACTGAATAACAAAAACATAAACGACAAATGCAAGAATAACTCAAATGTACAGTGTAACCCACCACTTCAGGATTCTATACTGTATTTATATATCTATCTCTCTTCATCAATACATTTTGTCTCAATTTATATCATGTGTCCTGCCTCTTTCCAAAAATATAAGGATGTATTGGGGTAAAACACAAACATAAATACATGTTCTAAAAAAGCATTCCAAATCCCATTAAAACAATTTTCTTTCAATATTCCTTTTCTAACTTTCAATCTGCAAGTTAATTTACTGATAATAGATTCCACATCTCATTATACCATTCTTCCAAACTCAACTAATTGCTATTTTTCCAGTTCCTTGCAAATATCAATCTTGCTGCTGTTAACATAATAATACTGTAGTTAGTTCCTTTTTCTCTACCTGATTGATTGCAAATATATTTAACAGAGCCGTCACTGGCCATCTCTGTATACCTGTCCCTATAATTTCTTTAATCTCATTAAAAAAAATTATCCATTCCTTCTGTCTCTCTTCCGATATTCACCACTTCTGATAATAAGTTCCCCTTTCTTTCTTACATCTCTAACATATAGATGATCTCTCTTTATTCATTATATTCAGTTTCGTTGATGTTAAATACCATCTCGCTGGGATGCAAAGTGTTCCTTGCATAATTATGTTGTAAACTGCCCAGAGAGTGCTCTAACACTATGGGGTGGTGTACAAGTTGAAAATAATAACAATCACTGCCAAAATACCACTTTAATAACAATCACAACAGCAATGTTTTCACTGTTGATTTTATATGAGGCTGTATATATTGGTGCCCTGAAATTTGCATCTTGACCCTTGTCTGGAAAATAGCATCAAAACATGTAAAGAGACAGGTTTAAAGTGCAGAAAGGAATGTTTTTAAAGCAGAAAACTGGCAACACTGCAATCACATGAACTGTGTGATTCAGGGGGACCCTCCACCCATAAATAAGTATGTTTGCAAAGAAATAGCAAGGAGAAATTAGGACTTGTTTATCACATATTTTTAGAGGGCAGTTTCTGAGAGTTCTGTCATTCCTGTAAGTGTATGCATAGTAGTAATTAGTAGTATTTAATAATCCCCTTTTAATTAACAGCTAATTAGGAGGTAATGGTATTAAGGAGAACATGCAGCACATGTTTTCAGAATACTTTATGAATTTCCTTCAAATTAATCATTGCTCTTTCGTCTGAGAGGTTAAGTATTACCTTTCTGGGTTAAGCAGAGGTTGTTAATGGCTAATAGTTAACCACAGGAGAGAACTTTGGATGTTTCAGTCCAAAATTCCAAACTCTGAATGGAAGTGGGTGGGCAGCTATATTCTTCTTTAAAGACCATCATCATTGTGTGTCTTCTGTCTGAGCCATGCCTTGTCTTCTGTCACTTGTATGAAGCTGGATAATAAGCCTCTACCCTAGGTTTGTGTACACACAAATGAATGTGTGAGGGTTGTCACTCCCAGCGCTTCCTGAGAGGGTAGAGGCAGAGTCACTATAGATAATACGTTTAATATGCTTCCTTCACAAAAGTGAAAGACATCTGTTTGTAACTTGTGCCTGAATTTTAATATTTTACATCAATTGTGCTTTCTTTTGTGTTTGGTCACTGGAAAATAAAAATAGGTTTAATTGGGGGCTCTGGTTCCTGGGCTCATATCTCTGAGGAGATCCTGTTCTAGGAGGGGAAATGGGTTAATCATTGGGAATGTGAATTCTCCTTAATGCCTAGTTTAAACTGTAGCATAAGCTGCAAAGTTTTCCCTAACCTCATGTCCTCCAAATAGATTGTTAAACACCCTGCTGACCTCCTATTCTCTGGGAATGGTGGAGGTTGAAGTCTAACACATCTGGAGGGCACGGGATTGGGAAAGTAAGAGATCACAAAGGTCAGAACAGGAACCATTTCTCAGATTGTGAGTGACCTGGAAGCTTACATAAACAGTCTTACACAACCGACTATGGCTTATTGCTATGAAAAGGTTTGTTTGCTACTATAAGGCTGTTGGTTCCTTGAAATCTCCTCCTTATGCCAGAGTTTAGTAGGGCTCATAAGATGGCTACCTAACTAAGGTTGCAGCCAGTTTCAAGAGCTCTTGTCATCTTGCCTTATACCTATGAATTTTAAACAAGACAAGCAGGCAGGTGGGTAGGTTTGCCTTGTGCATCTACATTGGCTGTTCTTGTAATAAGTGAATCACTTTGGTGTTTATTTAACATTTCTTGTCTGTGCATCTGCAGCGTTTATGATCCCTTCTCACAGTTTAAACTCAAGAGCATATTGCCGAAACTCGGAATATGTGTTCTGTTGCAAGATGGAAGTGATTTGTATGAACATGTAAATGAGCTGTGTCATATGCATACCAAGAGCAGATCTACTGATTATGATTCCTGTAGGAAAAGATATTGTTACACTGGGTGTTTTTTTTTTTTAATCAAACATATAAAGTACAGTATGAATACAATATGTCCATTTAAAAAAAAATCTTTAGACTCACATTTAACATTCAGTATCAGAATCCCAAGAGAAGGAGGTACGTATGTATGAGTAATTCAAGAAATTTGAAACTGGGTCAGGAAGGACCAAATTGCAAGGGGGGGGGAGAGAATAAAGTGTCTTGTAGTACTCAGTACCCAATGGAGATAAATGCGGCACATTCTGGATATTGCCACTGAGAAATGATCAAGTGGGACAGATCTTTGTCATTCTTATCTTACACTGCCGAGGGATGTTGACTGATGTAGTTGCTTAGTATATACCTATGTGCAGCTTTAAAAATAGCTTGTGTAGATGTGAAGAAATTATGTTATCAGAAATGATTTGTTACTGCAAAGCTGACATGGTGGTGACGTGGTGGTGCTGCGGGCTAAACCGCAGAAGCCTGTGCTGCAGGGTCAGAAGACCAGCAGTCGTAAGATCGAATCCACGCGACTGAGTGAGCGCCCGTTGCTTGTCCCAGCTCCTGCTAACCTAGCGGTTCGAAAGCATGCAAATGCAAGTAGATAAATAGGGACCACCTCGGTGGGAAGGTAACAGCGTTCCGTGTCTAAGTCGCACTGGCCATGTGGCCACGGAAGATTGTCTTCGGACAAACGCTGGCTCTATGGCTTGGAAACGGGGATGAGCACTGCCCCCTGGGAAACCTAACGACTGGACAAAAATTGTCAAGGGAAACCTTTACCGTTACCTTTTAGCTGACATTCTGTTCCACATAACAGGAACCCAGTGGGCTCCCAGTTGCTCTTTCTTCAGTATTGGCAATGGGATAAGCCTCCTTCTCTGTGGCTGAGAACTGGGAGGGCAGCAGGCTAGCTTAGGAAGCACAGGCCAGGCTACAGTATGTGATACTCAGAGCTCTTTGCTCCAAAGAAGACAATGGAGTCTCAGTAGGGGGTTCCAGGAAGAATGGCCCATTCTGGTTAAGAAGGCAACAAACGATCTTTTCTTAGCTCTTTGCCTTCCACATAAACTCTAGGATTACTGCCTGGAGTGGCTGCCTCATTCTGCCACATGTGTTGCTGTAGCATATGGGTAGGTAACACCCAGATTCCAGAGCCTTTGTTTCTTTGTTTGTTGCATTTGTATACCAACTAATTTAGTGCAAAACAGGCATCTGGACAAGTAGTAATCATATACATAATCCTTCCAAACTATCAAACCCAGATCCACCACACAACCTCCTCAGTCAAACTTTCAACAACTCAAATTCAAACTGGTCCCAAGAACAATCATAAATACACGGATGTATACAGTGGTGCCTCGCTAGACAGTTACCCCACATGGCGGTTTTTTCAGTAGACATTGGCTTTTTGTGATCGCTATAGCAATTCGCAAAACAGTGATTCCTATGGGGGAATTTCGCTGGACAATGTTTGGTGCCTGCTTTGCAAAACGATTTTCACTAGACGACGATTTTGACAGCTCCCTTCGCACTCGCAAACAGGTGTTTTCGGGACCTAAGCTTCACAAGACAGCGATTTAAACAGCTGATCGGCAGTTCGAAAAGCGGCTTTCCTATGGCTGATCTTCGCTAGACAACGACGATTCTTCCCCATTGGAACGCATTAAACGGGTTTCAATGCATTCCAATGGGGAAATGCTTTTCGCTAGACAATGATTTCGCTAAACAGCGATTCCAGTGGAACAGATTATCATCGTCTAGCAAGGCACCACTGTAGATGGTTGATGGGTGAGCCATGCTGCAAGTTAAAGCTTCCTCTCCCCTCAACCTTGGAGGGATACAGATCCTCAAAATATAATTGTCCTCCCGCCCTTTTTAAGTTTCAAAATATCTTCCCCCCACCCCAGAAACTGGAAATGAAAGGCCAGTCACTTCTGATTTTTAAAACCCTTTTACAGTGTAGTTTACAATTTTGGAACAAGATTTTTGTGGGGGGGGAGGTGTTTGTAGATGTTGGAGTCCATATGAGCCACAGTAGGAGCCCTGAAGATGGCATGTGGTCCATGAATCATAGTTTGCTCATTCCTGCTTTAGTGGATTTAAACCTGAGGAGATATTTTGCCTTATATGAAGCCTAATGAGATTTGTAGCAACTCACCAGCTACAGTGTGCCCAGTACAGCACAGTTTTGGATGGTATGGTCATGAGAATGCCACAATGATCATATTCTTTAAAAAGCTGAAGAACTGCTGCTAACAGAGCTTGAAGCCAAAAAACCTCTTTCATGCAGTGTAGACCTAAGCAAAATATGTATATTGGCTTCTTGATAACCCCCCACAGCTGTCTTGGAAACCAGTAAGCACAGGATGACTAGCAGTATATAATTGAAACATGATACAGAGATAACACAAAAACAGTTATTAGCCCCCACATCACTTCCATCAATCAGCTAAATTATGCCCAACAAAGGACTGCTGTCAAAAAGGAATCAAATAGCGACCTAGACATTTGCTTGGGTTCACACATTAGGATTAAGCATCAACAGCCACTGGTTGTTTGAAAATCCAAGAGACTGTTGAAGTTGAGAAGAAGTGCTAATGATGGATACTGCTGGGAGTGATATAGCACCAATTGTATCACCCCTTACCAGAATCTGTCAAATTGGGATAAGATGGTGAAACGGAGAGAGAAGGCAAGTTCTGAGGAATACAGCAAGACCATTGTCCACTTCACCAACAAGTTAGAGAATCACAGCCAGAGAAACATATTTCAACATGTTTCTGTTTATTTATGTTTCCTATATTTCTGCATTTAGGTAGATATATAATTAGGAGACCAGAAGGCAGATATGTCAGAACAAAATTATACATGGTGTATTGAGGTGAGCACCACAGCTTCTGAACATAGTAATTACCGTGCATATCTCTGACTTCTCCTAATCCTTATAACTGGACTACAGGGTAAATGTAGAAACAAGTGGCAAAGCTACCTTTCCCTTACAAGTTGATTATAGTTCCTGAAAATGAAATTAGATTGCCTCATTTAGAAGGCCCCTCCCAAATGGCACTACCATTTTCCTGTTCACCCATATTTCTGTATAATTAGTAACCACACAGAAAGAACAGGTCTGCTGATATTTTTAACAAGATACAAACACCTTCATGCTGAGGCAGTGAGACCCTCATACTTTTGAAACCACCTCACAAACAGAAATCAAATGTTCCCCATTTTCTATATGGTTCACCCTGGGATTTGTCTGGCCACCTAGAGACCTGGAGAACCATATGGTGCCCTGGCAGTTGCCTTATCATTAACTGTGAAAATCAATTTCAGAACTTTGGGATTTACTTTTAATACATAATTGGTTACAGCTAGAATATGAAGCTCTCTAAAGACATTAGTTATCCTTATGGGTATATTTTTAAAAGAAGTAATTGATATTTTCCCTTTCTGCCAAAAAAAAAGTATTGAAATAGATCCTCTTTACTTACTTTAAAAAAACATCTGATAGCTACAAGTCAATGGTCTGTGGTAGACATCACAATTCTCCTATCATCTGATTCATGGTCATATCAATACTCATAACAAAACATGGTACAGAGTAGGAACCAGCACCTAGAATCATGGGGCATACCTCCTGAAAAATTTGGTAAGTCCAGATCCTTTTCTCTGTAAAAGGTTGACTACAGGACAGGTTGCAAAAAGGGGTTCAGCTATTCTTTGTCAAAATACAGAGACATTCTTACACAGGTTTACCTTGGTTCTTGATCAAATGAAGTAAAGCAATGTGTTGTGCATAAATAGCTACTTTCAATCTGTTATTATTTTTTACATGGAAAATGATGGAAGAGATTATCTGCTCTTGATTAAAGAGCCCCACGTGGCACAAGAACAGGCAAGTCTTTGAGATGGCCTGCAATATTAACCCCTGTTTGCAGCTTGTTGAAGATCAGAGTTTTTAATTGAAACCACCAGAATAATATAAGCCAACCTGTACTTACAGAAGACAATTGATTTCTGAATAGATTCACTGCTGCATGTGCAACTCTATGCTGCAGTATTGATTTACTTTAAGTGATTTGCTTAAAAGTGATCCTTTTATAGGATTTTTCACTGTTAGTTTATAGATTTGATAGTTTCATTTAATCCTGTGTGGTTATGGTATCCACAAGGTTAATTGTCCACATGTTTTGTCAAAGAGTTATATATTTATCTTTTAGTATAACACAGCAATCGCTACTCTTAAGGCATGCCTGTGTCCAGGGTGGCTTTCAACACACAGAGAATCTGAGTTCTTCTGTTTCCCTGGCAGCTCTCTGCTCTGCTCCATCATCCACCATTGGATAAATGATGGTGGAATCAGAGTTACCTGAACACATATCACTGTTCCTACTCTTCAGTTTGCCCAAGCTGGTCGGCTGGAGCACAAGCACACTTGCTTTTCCTTCCATGACTTTAGAGGTCACAAGAGAGGCTTGCATGCAGTCATTATAGATAGAAATTGGGGACGGGGTAGGAAAAAGAGTAGCTTCTATGGCTTACACTCAAAAAATCTCAGCAGATCAGTCTGTCACTTGGCAGGGTCAGGAGAGAGCTTGAGTGAACATGGAAAAACTTTAACGTAGCATCTGAAAAAAGAAAGGGTTTTGTTGCCATCGTTGCTACTGCTAGTAGTTGACTTTCTTTTTCAATCTGTGTTTTTGGAGAATAATGTCTAGCCATGATGAGCTGTCAAGGACTGCCAAGTTGGACTGAACAAGGCTATACTGGGACTCAATTAAAATGCCTTTTCTGAATTAGTAAATACGTACCTCTCTCTTTGCCAATCTCTTTACCATGCTAAGAGAGGAGCTGCTTTCCTCTTGGTCACATATGATCAGAGAAGCAAAGAGAATGGGAAAGACAAAGAAGCTACATCTTCTCCCAATATTAACATTACATTTCATTCTTATGTCAATAAAAATGTAAAATTCATATTGGAATAATATTTGTGTAGTCATTTTTACAAATCCTTGCTGGCTGGATAGCTTAGTGAGTTAGTTATCTGGTTGTGGAGCCAGAGGTTGGGAGTTCAGTTTCCTCCACTGTGCTTCCTGCGAGTAGAGCCAGCCTGTGTGGCCTTGGGCAAGCTGCGCAGTCTCAGGGCAATTCCCAGAAGTAGGGAATGGGAAACCACTTCTGAGTATACTCTCTGCCTAGAAAACCCTGGGAAGGGTCACCATAAGTCAGCATTGACTTGCAATTATTATATTATTACTACCAATCCAGTATCATGTTTCTAAGTTGTTTTTTAAACTTCATAATGCTGATGTAATCTTGTTTCTTTTTAGGCCCAGGAAAGAAGCCAGTTCTTCTCTGTCTTCTATCTGTCCATTAATGCAGGAAGTTTGATCTCCACTTTCATTACTCCTGTGTTGAGAGGTCAGTGTTGATTCAAAGTTACCCTGAGAATTAGACACACAATTGATTTTGCTCCTGCCTTAGCCAAGATGATTTTGCACAGTTCAAATAATGAATGAAGAATATCATCTGCGCCTTTGAAATTACTTCATAAGACTACAGCCTCTATGCTTTGTTGATGCTGCTTCAAGAATGAAGAGCATTACGGTTTTTCAGGATTACATAGTGTTCAGTGTATCCAAGAAAAGAACAAGAAGCACATCAGAAAACCACTTTCTTTTCTACATCATGGCAGTTCTCAGGATTATTGCAGTAAATGTGTTTAGGTTTTTTTTTTTGTAAAGGTAACTGAGGCCAGAAATAGACATTAGATGCAGCCCCTAATCGGGGCCGGTGCCAGGCTTTTTTGCGCCCTAGGCAAGACTAACTACTTGCCCCCCCCCCAATTTTCAAACACAGGCAAATTGTAGGAAAACCAGAAAGTACAAAAGTTGAACTTGTGAAAAATTTATTTTAAAAAACTGAGAAAAGAATAGAACAGTCTTCAATTTTCTTTCTCAAATACAAACCAGTTTTAGCACACAAATCATTTTGAATAATCCTATGAATTGCAATGTCTCTTAAATGTTTCTATTTTTGCCACATCAAAATCTCATTTTGTGTGCCTTTTCTTTTGCATATTTTGTCACTGATTCATTCAGGTCAATGGCTGATGCTTCGGCATATTCAATTGATATAGTTGCCAAACCAACTAGTCTACTTTGCAGCATGGTTGAGCGTAAATATGTTTTTATAAGCTTGAGCTTTGAGAAACTGTGTTCACCACTAGCCACTGACACTGGAAATGTAAGAAGGATCCTTAGAGCCACAGAAACATTAGGCACACTATCCAGGAGTTTTTGTTGCACTATGAAGAGAAGTATTCCTTGTGGTGGCATAGACTTTGGAAGTCTTCAAGCTATTGCTACAGTATATGTTCACAGCACAGATCTTCAGCATCAATATCTTTGTTTCCATTGTGCATCAATTATTTTTCCAAATTCTTGCAGGCCTTAAGTACATCTTCAGTACATTTTTTGTTGATCTTGTAGATGTCATACAGGAAGCCAAACAAGGAATTATATTGTTGTAGCTGTTGGAATCTCCCTTCAACAGATTGTATGGCCATGTCCAAGACAGCATAATAGAAACTTATTTAGAAATTCTGCTTTGGATCTTGTGGTGCCTCCTCTTGTGCTTCAAACTCAAACTGCTTTGGCATGAGCAAGAAATTAGTAGATCTTCCAGGACAGAGGTCACAAGGTAGAATTTCTGCTCACAAACTGACTTGGCTTAGAAGGAACATTGGTGGAGCCCCACCCAAACTAGAAGTCTGTCTCCAGTTATAACTGGGGGAATGTAGCTTAAAAGAGACCAAAAGCTAAGTGAGAGAGGGAAGCTGTGGGATCTTCACCAAAATTTTCTCCCCTACTGCCGCCTGTCCATTAGTCCTGTTTGATGACTTATAACTCCAGGAAGTAGATCACAGTGGCTGTTGTCAAGGGGACATTTGTAAGAAATAGGGGTTGCAGCAGGGGTCACCTCAGGGAGGGACTCAAATGTGCGCAGTACTGGCAACTCTGAAAGTGCTTATTTATTTATTTTTTTACCCAGGTTTTTTTTTGCTCACTTCCATTGATGCCAGGGGTGATATACACAAATGAGTCATGCTAATGAGAGTACTAGCAGCCCTTTTTCTATGAAATGACCCCTGGCTTGCAGTATATAGAAAATATGTTTAAGACTTTATAAATAATTATATTCCATAGCACTGTTGTGGTATTTATCTTAAAATTTCAAAATATAAATTTTCTGTTGCATTTTTTTCAAGAAACTAGTCTGCACCCCTCAGGTCAGTTCTGCGACCCTCTGAGGTCAGTTTTGCGCCCCTCTCAGGTCTGCACTCTAGGCAATCACTTAGTTTGCCTAGTGATAGCTCTGGCCCTCCCGTAATTAGAACTGATAGCATGTGAATGTCCCAGAGAGGTGACTGAGGGATTTTTTTTCTGTTTTTGTGAAATCAGACTTAAAAGGAATCCCATGCTTAAATCTTGAAGAGCAATCACCACACAAAGTAAGCTAATTTGTATAATCCCAGAGGTGAGATTAACTTGTGCTGTGGAACTCAGATGCTTAAATTAGTAAAAAAAAAAAAAACAAAAAAAAACACAAAACTCTTCTAATCATGGAATATCCCTAGCTTTGTGTGTAACCTGTATCTGAGGTTCTACACCTTCATTCCTTCTTTCCTTCCTTCCCGGTTCAAAAGGCCTGTTTCAGGCACCAACATGATAGTATGCCACATTTCCTCTTCTTGTACACATTGTGTGTGTGTGTGTGTGTGTGTGTGTGTGTCTGTCTGTCTGTCTGTCTGTCTGTCTGTCTGTCTGTCTGTCTGTCTGTCTGTCTTCTTTTTCCACTGTTGGGAGTGGATTTATTTATTTATTTATTTTTAGAAATTATGCACACATTTTAAAAAATGTTTAATTAGCAGGTTTGGATATCTACTTGTTCCTATATTTTCTTGAAAGCAGGAGATGGAAAGCAAAGCTGTTTACCTGTGTCAGCTGTGGTTAAGTGGCTGTTGCTCAGCACATTTTGTAAAACAGCACTTCTTTTAAACACAGCATAAGACGGCTCCAGACCAAACAGTGCAGTTGGATGCAGTAGGGCGGAATCAGGATGTTTTGGTTCTCAAAAAGCTTCCTGAGGGGAAAAAAGAAGACCATTTCTTTTGAAACTGGTCAGTTTTTGCCTGACCTGTGTGGTTGCTATACTGTACAGAGCAGCTTTGAATGTTCCCTGCTACAGATCAGAAGTAACATGGCAGAGCATTTCTGGGACTGTCAAATTCCAATGACTCCCTCTGGAAGGAAAATAAAGAAACTCCTAGAATTAGGCACACAGACAAGGAGAGTATTGTGAATTTCAGATAAAGAAACAATTATTAATATTCCGTTATAATGCTTTACTATCTTGGATGCTCGGCATTGTGAGGATTTTGTTTTCATTTGTTCCTGCTTCTGCAGAACAGATAGACAATGGAAGTTGTTTTTTCTAAGCAAATAGTTGTTATGGGAGCATTTGAAGCTTGTTCAGTATATATAAGCTTTAAATTAGAAACAAGGACTGGGTCCAAGTGGTTGGGGGTTTGTTTCTCTCTTTTACTTGGTTCTGGCTTGAGTTGCCACCCAAGTAAGTCTGGACCCCCAATTCGGGTGTCCAGTTATCTGTACTGACCTTATCTGATAGTCATACGCATATGCACACATCTTATTCTTAAGCACTCAGAGTATGCATTGGACCAATTTGGCTACAACAAGAATAAAGTCATTTTTGGTGCAAACACAGTTTTTTGGGTTCTGTAGGCCATATCACTGAAGGCACTATTTTCAGTAGTGTGAACACTATGTATTCCCGAACCCTCTCTCTGTTTATTGCTTTAATAGTTGTAGAACTCAACTGTTTTTTAAAATAATTTGCTGGTTTCAGCAGAAATGGGGGAAGTTTACTTTGTGGGCTGCAATTCCCAAAATCTCTCTGCTAGCACGGCCACTGGAAGTTTAGACACCTGATAATTATAGTCCAATATCACCACCACCACTCCAAGAATAAACCTTCTCTATCTCTGGGCTTCAGGCTCGCTTGGTTCAAGCTTCCATTGGTGCAAGGAAGTTTCATGCCAAGGAATAAGAAAGGTGAACCCAGACATTTTACTTTGTAATTGCCCAATGCTTTGGCCTGCTCTCTTCTGTACTTTGGTTCCCAATCAGAAGAAATGCCTACAATGTAAAACTACAGCTACCAATTCTGCAGGGATCAGGAGACACAAAGAATTAATGGGGCCCTACTTCTTCCAACTGTAGCCTAGTTCATTTGACCTAGCAAACTTTTGCGGCTCTCAGACTCTGCTTGATTATTTACATTATCAATGCCTGCACAACCTCCAAACCACAAGCCACGACAGAAACAATCAGTTCACACAATCAGTTAGCATATTAAGAATGTGGATTAGATAGATCTGTGCTTAGTTCATAATACTAACAAAGACAGAGAGATGCAACTCTAGGATTCCCTCACCAGATAGCCAAAAATCACCCCCTCAAACTCTTAGTGTTACCAATGAAATCTGCAGATGTGGAAGACACCACCACTTACAAATGTACACCACAGGTCCAAAGCTGCAAATCCACCTAAACAGGATTTCAGGGTAGAAATTTGAACTGTAGGCTAAAATCATTATGTGAGTGGTTCAATACATGCTTAGAATGATGTATCTTGAAGAATCCCTGAAAGTCAATTGGCCCTGTTTCCTGATCTGAATATATATTGAGCCATTCCCAAGAATCGCCACATGCAGATGTAGTGAGATAAAATGGTTATCTGCTGATTGAAGTGAAGAAAAAGGAACTGTGCAAATCCTTTCTGTTTCCATTATGGCAGTGAATGGAAGGGATGGCAAGTAAAACTAAAACTTGATAAAATGGAGTCCTGTTTCTCATTATTGTCATAGGGGATGTGGAGTGCTTTGGAGGAGATTGCTATGCTCTGGCTTTTGGTGTTCCTGCTGCTCTAATGGTCATAGCTCTTGGTAAGTAATAGATATGACAATGGATCATTGACAATCTGTACCATCTGTCTTTCTACAGTACTGTATTACTTGAACGATAGGAGCCACAAAAAAGGATCAACATGGAATTCTAAAATCCCCTTCTTATTTCATTCCACTGAAGGAAACATCCAAAATGTCTGGGTTTGACCAGAGAGATGGCTCAGACAGACCCAGAACACATTTGAATGCTGGGCTTTTGGACTGGAGCTTTTGAATGGTGGTGCAGCACTTAAGGCACTGGACTAGAGCTCAGGAGACCTGAATTCAAATCTCCATGTGGCCTTGAAATTCCTTGAGTGACTTTGGGTAGGTGGTGGCCTCCCAGCCTGACAGGCTTGCTGTGATGATAAAGTGAGGACAAGGAAAACTGTGTATCTCACCTCCAGCTCACCAAAAGAAAGATGGCATATAAATGAAGCAATGAATGAATATATCCTGATATGTGCAAATTCATTTTCCTCTTCACTGAGGAATTAGTTTTACTAGATTATCAATTAAGGTTTCTATTCAAGGGCTGGTTTTCCCACACAGATTTAAGCCCTGCTGTCTCCCTTTTCTGACTTTGAGCACAACAATATGCCCCATTAGTGTGGTTCTCTAAGTTTACCTGAGAGGCCATAGCTTAGTGAGAACTAAGCCCTCCATGGATTCTGCCCCCACAAGGCAGCTCAGCCACAGCAGAGCCCAGCTGAGGAGAAAGGCAGAAAAAGGGGAGATTATTTTCCTCCCATCTCCCCCCAAAATTCACCCCAGCGGTTTCCCACCGGTATCATCACTACAAAATCGTTTCTCTACCGCTGTCATCATCTTACTCATGGGTAAACCTTGCTTGTGAGTAAGCCAGCAATCCAAAGACCTATCTGGACCCTTCTCACAGGATAATAAGCACCTCTAGTGGAAATGGAAAGATCGCTTGAGATAAACAGCACTAAAAATAAGCATAACCCTGTTTAGCATAAAACAGGCTGCTCCAAATTCCTCCATCTGGACAGGACCTTCAGTTAGACAGTGTGTCCCTGTCCACCTATATTGACGGGAAGCACCTCTCCAGGGCATGACTGTGCTTGTGACACAGTCCATTATCTATTTCCCGCCAATCACATGACATATGAGGAAACACACTCCATCCCAAACTGAGTCTGTGCCTACGCTGAACCTTTAGGACCACTATTTTTGGGGACTGGGCTGGGGTTGTTCCCCAATAGAGAGAAGGATTGTTTCAAAGGAAGTCATTCTCTGCAAAGCAGCCCTTTCTGGTGTGATCGGACATGTGCCTTTCTCACATTTTCTCTGCATTAAAAAAACTACTTACCCTATCTCTGTGTAGTCACATTTCTCCTCCACAGAAAGAAGGTCTCCATGCACCTCCCAATGAGAAGTTGTTCTCTACAAATGGTTGTTAGTTTTGGCACTTTCTTTCTTTCTGAACTACAAATCTCAGAAGCCTTAGCCCACACAGCCAGTTGGCAAAATTTCCAGACTTTTGTGGCTTTCTGGACAACGAGACGAGGGGTGGGTGGGAGTTAATTGCCAGTTTGTTGAAACTATATTTTCACATGAAGCTTCTACAGCTTTCTGCTAAACAAGTACTTTTGAGTGGCTCTGGGGAAGAGTTAGCCTTGATGGATGTGTATGGATTTCTGTTGTGAGTCAAGAGATAAGATTTTATATTAAGCACATATTCATCCCTCAACATATGCTGCAACTAAGCATCTCTAGGTAATAATTGTATCACAGGATTTGTGGTTCATGTAGGAGGAAAAATGCCAGCTTGGCGAAGGCAATTCAGCTACAGCACTTCTGAAAGACCCAATGGCAGATGTGCTACTGAGCATCAGTGGTGACACTCAGATCACGTTCTCAGTAAACCGCACTGTTAATTTAAAAATTGACAATTTAATTAACAAATTAATAATGCTAATTCACTGCATTAAATGTTTCAAGGTTTAAGCAGCAAGAAATTAATCTCCTTACATCAAACGTTTAACATGAAGTAATTAATTTTTGGACCTAACACCCGAAGCCTTGCATAGGACTACAATGGAAATTGGGACCTTCTGCCTCTAAGCATTTGCTCTCTGCATGGAGTTACAGTTGTTCATTCTCTGATGGTGTTTAAAAGAACTGCATTTCTCCCATCTCCTGGCATGCTCACTCTCAGGGAGCAACACTGAACTCTGCTCTCGAAATCCTGGTAGAAAGACCTAATCTGCATTCCTGTCTTGCTTTGATTTGGCATGTCATTGATTATTATTGAATAATTGAAGAGTAATTCAAAAAAGGACCTCTGGGCAGCTTAGAGCAAATGTGAGGACAAAGCATTGAAACCACATAAATCAAATGCTAAAAAGCAGTAGACCTAAAATGCAGCACGGAGATAAAAGAATAGGTTATTAAATTTTTAAAAACCACTTCCTGGCTGCTTATCCCCAGAAGTCCATGAAATAAAAAAGTGTTAACCAGCTTTAAAAGCTTAAAAAGAGAAATGCCCTTGTCTTGTCACTCTATCTAAGGATTACGTTTCCTAGTGCAGATACTACTGTAGTAGCTCTCATATTTGTGGCTACTGAAGTAAGTTTGGAGCAGGGCTCCATTCATAGGCAGATGAACAAATTCATATGAGAACAGGTATTCTGCACAGTTACCCTGAACCAAACATTAGAGCTGCCAGGTCTTAGGGCACTGGCTGATTATAAAACAGCCCTGACAGACATACAATCTGGATAGGGCTGAGGAGCACTCATGTCTGAAACGCTGGAGAGTCACTAGCAATCAGTGTCAATAATACAACACTAGAGGGACATGTGCTCTAACATGGGGATTTTTCTATGTTCCGAAGGCCCTAGTTGCCTTAAAGTGCCATACCATTTCCTCTGGACTAAGAGTCTTAAAGGACACAACAGCTGATGTTATAGGAATGGGGCCTCCTCTGGTGCTGTTTTGTCATGTTCACGGCTGATCTGAAACAGGGTCAATACAGCAGCCAGAAAGTGCAGCACCAAGGACAGCTCTCAATTAATGCCATGAACAGCGATGGCTGAAGTTGGATTGAGGCCCCTTAGACTGTTGACTCAGAACTACTTCATCAAAATCCACCTCCCATCCAAGAAGCTCAGTCTAAGGGGATACTTCCCTGTCCTGTAGCCTAGCACTTCCTCAAGGACTTCACCCTACTGGCATTGGCATACCAGCCATTGGAACTGTGCTGAGGATGAACCCTGGAGGTGCAATGGTTGTTGGGGTCATGGAGGCTTCAAGTTCAGATGTGTTAGTGTAGGCCATCTTTAGGATCACAGACCTGGCTGGCTGAGGGGTCTTCTCCAGTGGCTCAGGCTCTGAGTTCACATCCAGAGAGCTGCTAGATGCCTGGGAAGTGACATGTGGTCACAGCATCCCAAAGCTGCCTGTTTAATATATGGTTTCTTCCTCTGTATTTATTATATGTGTTGAAAGTCATCTGGTGCTGCTGTTTGAAAAGACATCCCAGGAGCAGTCCAGGGAAAGAACACTTGCAGATGATGCAGCTCATTTTTTTAAAGTCCACTAAAAATGATTTTGTTGTTCTTCCTGCTGGACATTCTCTGGTAAAAAAATATTCTGCCCAGCATCCATAACCATGGCTTCCAGGCTCTGGGGTTCTGGTGTGTATAGGGCATCTGAAAACAACAAATCAGTGCCCTGCCTTCTATAAACAGAAATCCTTCCCACAAGTGCAAGGCTGTTGGATATGACCCCCTCCCCTTACTCACATCTACGCTGCAATTCTTTCCTAGTTGTGTTTATTGCTGGGAATGGAATGTACAAAAAGACTCCACCACAAGGAAATATCTTGCTTGAAGTTTGGAAGTGCATTTGGGTAAGTCCTTTCCTCAACTGTCTCTTTTACAGTGTGTTCCCACATGTCTCTGCTCAGAAATTAGCCCCAGAGTTGATGTTTTTCTGGGTTATTTCTGAAACCTTAAATATGCTTTCTCGGTCTTCAAATTATGCATGTTTTGTAACAGGAATGACTGTGTGAGATAAAATGGATGGGGTGCATCTTTTAACACAGTGATACCCAAGCATGTGACACCTGGTGTGGTATAGTGGATAAAATAATGGACTAGGACTTGGGAGGCCTGGGTTCAAATCCCCACTCAGTCATGGAAACTCACTGAGATGTGTGTGGAACTGGTAAAATCACTCCTTAAATATCTCACTTCTCTTGAAAGCCTTATTAGGGTCCCTATAAGTTGATTCTGAGTATATGGCACATCAGAGCAACCCAAGCATGGACTACATTTCCCAGGAGCCCTGAGCATTGGCTTTACTGGCTAAGGCTTGTACTGATGGAAACAGAAGAAAATCTGGAGGCTCAAGTGTGAAAACCATTGTTTTAAGATAGTGCTTGCTGTTTGTAGTATTTATAAGTACTCCTATTAACACCTAGGCCAATATCCTGTTCAATATTTGTTCCTGCTCTATGCATGGAAGTTGCCATGACAATCTGACAAGATGGGCACATAGCCAGGCATGCAACAAATTAAAAGCTCTTTGCACATAAATGCTGAACAGGATTTTGGCCTCAGTGTTTATTCTTAAGAGTGATGGGTGACTCTAGAGGGGATGCTTAAGGTCGGTTGTAATGTGGTACCTGTTATTGCAAACACTTTGGAAAATCCAATAAAACTTTACTACTCCAAATATTTCTGCTGATTTTTTTTTCTTAAGCGGCCATCTGTTTAATTGGGAGTAGTCGATTAAAAGCTTTTGAATGGATGAATCTTTGTGACCAATCTATTAAACATTTCATTCCAGTTTAGTAGGGAGGTATATAAGGACTTTCCTGCTCTCGATCTAATTGGGAGCCTGGCGTAGCAAGGCTGGTGTCCAAACTAGCTGTCTTTAGGCAGCTGCTGGAATGCCTTGGAATGTCCTGAGTTTTTCTTTAAAAATAAAAATAACATCAAAGCAGTCCCAGTACCAGACAGTAAGCTGCTATTTTAATTTCCCACAATGCTCTCACCATAATGTCCGTTTGGGGAACTGAAGGAATTTAATATATCAGTTTACAGACATCTGCCTCTGACTGGGATAGTCCTGCTGCCCATCACCACCAATTCTGCTAAGCCCACCAAGACCTCATAATAGAGATGGGCAGAAGTATTACTCTTTAGAACGTAAATAAAAGCAAGTTGTTATTCATTTTTTATTGCTCATTCCCCTCCTCCCCTTTTAAAAATCCGGCCACAATTCATTATATAATATGCTATTTCTCATTACTTTTTTTAACCCTTACATTTTTCTAATGATAAAATTGCCTTCAATCCCCTGAAAATGCTCCTAAGCAATGTTTTAAAGCAACAAGTAAACACTTATGATTACAGAAAATAAAAAGTAACAATATTACAAGGTGTTATACTGTTTTTTAAAAATAACACCATTGACCCATTGTTATGTGTCCACATGTGTGTGCGTATATATGTATTAATTTGTTCATTTATTCATTCATCCATCCATCCATTCATTCCCTATATATCTTGGCTTTCCTCCACTGAGCCCAAAGTGGCATATAGAGCTCTCCTTCTCCCTATTTCCACCTCATAGTAACCCCATGGCAGTTCAAGGTGATCCTGTGAATTTTGTGACCAAGTAGGTCTTCTTAGGCGAACACTTTCACTGTTATACCACGCTATGGTTTTCATCCAACACCATTAAATGCATTAAGTGTTCCTTGGAGTTAAATTGGAGGACTTTGGGCCAAAATATTTCCTTGGCTTCCTTCACAAAATCGGCTCCATGCCATCCATCATCCTGATTAATCTTCCTTTCTTCTAACATTGTGGCCACCTTGACAATTTACATACCAAGGTGTTTAATTTTTTTTAACTGAAAAAAAGTGAACTCAAAAATGTATGATAATCAGTAATACTATTATGAAAGGAAGGATGACATCTTCCCCACCACATAGTCAAATGCATTGAGGGTCACCCAGTGAAACTGGTATTATATTAATTACAGACAAAAGGAAGTCTTTTTTTACAGTCATTAATGCCTAATTATTGAGTAGAACTCATTAATACAAGATGTGGTGACAGCCCCTAGCATAAGATGACTTTTAAAAAATGAATTGAGACAGCTGAAGAGTGGATAGGTCCCCCAGGCTGCAATCCTATCCCTACTTATGTGAGATTCAGCCTCATTGAATGGTTTTTGAGATGTAATTTTGTGTAGACACTCACAGGATAGTGCAGTTAGGAGCTATTGGCCATCACAGCTGAATGGAAGAAAGATGTCCACAAGGAATGTGATGGATGGCTCAGTGCTGAAGTAGGTACCACCATTCTGCTGCTCTCACCAGTATTGATTGGACACTGAGAGATTGTTGGATTAAATCCGATTGCACAACCTGCTCAGTTTTTGAGGCCAGCTTGTTGGCTCAAGGTTGGGGGGGGTATACGTTTGCATGCACATGCACACACATGCCTCTCTTTCTTCACTGGGAGAGAGAGCCTTCTCTCCACTCCTTCCCACAGTATTTTTGATCTAGAAACAATTGGAGTTGGATTCTGAGAGACACCAGGCTGAGAAATAGCTGTTTGTCTTTCCAAAACATGCACAGAGATTTGCTTGGTTATTTTTCCTGTGCCACCTTGCACCTATCAAACACAGCACATACTGCTCAGTGTTCACCCCTAGGATTATAACTCCCCAGACAAAACCATTTTCTGTTCTTTCTCTTTCATTTATTATTTATTTATTTATTTATTTAATTTATACCCCGCCTATCTGGTCGGCGAGGACCACTCTAGGCGGCTAACAACAGTAAAATAATACAGTAACAATATACAAGTAGACAATTCTAATTAATAAAAACACTACAATACATTACATGTAGTTAGAATTTATGTGGGTTGAACCCAGGGAGTTGTGCATGCAATCCAAGTCCCTTTCTCAGATAACAGTATCCTTTAGCTGCTTGGGTAATTCAGTGAGTTTGGTTCTCGGCTGCAAAGTCAGGGATTGGGAGTTTGACTCCACAATGCACCTTGTAGAAGAGGTTTGCCAGATTGTGTGCAGTTGGCCAAGCTACATGGCCCTAGAGTGGCCCCAGAAGATGAGAATGGTAAACCACTTTTGAGCCGTCTATACCGAGAAAAACCTGGAAAGGCTCATCATAAGTCAGAAACAGTTTGATGGAAGGTAATTATCAATTATCTATATTTTTGTCACATAAAAGTCATTCAACAGAAGGCATGGATGCTGAGTGTAAAGTCAAGGAAGCAAAATATTTATTTGCTTGCTTGTTTGTTTATTGTCATTTGTAAGCCACCTTTCTCCCAGTGGGTGGATTATATTAGTCAAAAATCAGATTGTTTAAGAAATGACAGGAATAAAAATAACAGGTTTATAACAGGCGGCTAATGAAAGCATGCATAGGGGAAGAGTACTAGATTCACATGGCTCATGTATCTGCTTTTGTTCCCCTCTAGTTTGCTTTGACAAACCGAATCAAAAATCGCGCCCAACATATACCTAAAAGGGAGCACTGGTTGGACTGGGCATCAGAAAAATATTCCGTAAGTCAAAAATGTGTATCTGCTTTTTTTAAAAAAAGGTTTTTAGTTCCCTATCAGATATTCTGAACAGAGCTATCGGCAGAAATTGTGTTTTGGATTGTTTTGGATTTGACATACATTTATTGGATTTTAAGACCTAGTGGAACACATCACCTGGATGTGTTTCATGTGTATATGATATCCAGGTGATGAGTTTCATTAGGTATTAAGATGTTTTGGTGCTAGTCAGAGGAGATAAATCATTCACATTCAACATCACACCACTGGGGAGGGAGAAATAATCTTTTTGTGAAAAGAACTGTAAGTATAATCCCTCTTCAGTCATGTGGACACTACACAATTACTCTTGCAAGGAAGGCAGAGCATGGACATGATCACAAACCTATCTCTTTTTCACGTTCCACCCACCAGGACCTACTCTTCTCCATGCATTGCAGAACATTGGCCTCCCTGGCAAGTCAAAAGCCAATGATACACTAGTAGAGAAGGTTCACCATTGTCAGACCTTCCTTCTCTAATACATATGGAAAGCAGGACCACATAACTGGAATGCAATGAAGAAGTACAGACAGGGAGTGTGTCCCTGTCCACCCTTTCCCATGATGCTAATCCCATGAGGGATTATCCCATGAGGGATTATCATTTGAACACTGAAACAGGGAACAAGAATGGGTTGTTGATATTGTTTCTTAAAGGAGCATCTTTTTCAGAACTCAAAACTAGCTTGTAGTTTTATGTATGTGTGTGCACTCCATTTGTGTGGGGTGCATTCATTCTGGAACGCTCCTTGAAAACGGTTGTACGGGTAGAAGGAAACTGTAGTTCCCAGAACCAGCCATGGCACATAACTGTTTGTAAATGCATGTCCACCTCTCCTAAAATGAAAATTACCCAAGGACAATGGCATGCTGTAGATTTGGATGCATGGATCAGCAACTAACACTATGCAGTAATCAGGAAGGGCAATCTAATCTCATCCCTGTCTTGGTCTGTGCGATATATATGTTTGCAAACCTATGTGTGTTGCTTTTACAAGTAACATTTCTGGTGGACACTGGAAGCTATAATTTGTTGGTGATCCTGAAATAATGTTAATTCGGTGCATCATGCCACTTGGGTTATTTTGCTGCTGCTTCCAGGTATGTGCAGTAGTAGTTCACATTGCTTATAATACAGTGGTTCCCAAAGTAGAAACATGACCTGCCTTCTGGAGTGATGGGACAACCATAACATGCATCTACTGTAGGTAGGTCTTTCTTTGTCAGTCTGTACTGTTTTTGCACTTAGAATGCTCCATTAAGAAAAGAAAATGGATCGGGAAAGCTGTGAACATGAAGAACACAAAACTGTATGCAGAATAGCATGGTAGTTAGCTATGGAAAACATCATGCTTTCTACGAGCAGCTCAAAGAGCTTGCAAGTTGTACTCACTAGGACAGGCTTTGTATGCTGCTAGAGCTCTCCTCTTATCCTCGATGGCTGGCATTAACTCCTCAGAATGGGCTTTGAACCAGTCGGCCATCTTTTTGGTCTTTTTGCCAAAGGTGGACAAGACAGCATTCTTGAAATGTTCCCAACGTTCAGGTGCATTAGCCTCAGCCAGGCCTGGAAAGATTTCCTCAAGTGCTTGGGCAAATTTCTCCACTTTTCTTTGATTGCGAGTCTTGCTGATGTCAACACATGGTCTTCCTTCCTATGTCATGTGATACAGTCTCTTTGTTCGCAAGTCATTATGCTCCACCATATTATGGTCTGTTAGCTATGCTCTGTGCTTATTCCTGCTCCTAACTTTTGCTTTTACATTTCTCTTCAGCACCAGTTGATCACTGATGTTAAGATGGTGACCCGTGTTCTATTCCTCTTCATTCCACTGCCAATGTTCTGGGCTCTCTTTGATCAACAGGTAATAGCACTGTGTGCTTTAATTGCACATGGACACCCTTGGTCTTGGAATCTCCGTGAGATTCAAAGGCTCCTTTTACTGGTAATTTCCACTAAAACCATACAGTATATTTATCAAAAATGCCAAGATTTTTTAATTTGAAACCTTTCAATTTCAGGGATTGAATTAGTACATCACAGGAAATTTCTGTTTTAATTTTGGACAATAGTCTCAGCACATGTGGCTACTTAAGTCAAATGATATTGCGGGCATGTAATTTTGGATTCCTCTTGAGGAAGGGGAGGGGAAGGTATGGTGTTATAGTCCAGCAACACCATATAGTCCCATTAGCTCAAGTGGGCATAGCCAGTGGTGAGAGATGATGGAAGATGTGGTCCAGCATCATCTAAACAGCCACTTGTTCCCCATCCTTGCCTTAAGAGATCTTCTTAGACAAATCTGCACTACTGTATAAGCCTATATCAGAATCAGGAGAATTGAAGGCGCTGTTATTCTCTACAATTAGCTGGTGGTAAGTTGCTCTGAACTAACCAGGATTTATTTCTGAGAAGATGTTCACATAAATGTTTAGATGAATTAAGGTTATTCTGGATCACTAATTCCTAATCTCCCAACCCTAGAAAAACATTCCTTCTAAGCTTTCCTCTTAGGTATATGAATTTTTTTAACCATGTCGTTTCTATGGAAAAAAATTTGAACATGTGCACATAACATTAACTAGCATCATACTACTGTAGAAATGGGAGATGAAAGAAACAGTTATAGTGTGGAAAGCCCAGCTCACATTGGGGGGACAGGAAAGTATTTGTCTGGCCAAATAAGTGTGAATAAGATTCTTCTTTTGGTAGAGATATATCTATCAAAAATCAGATATTGCACACAAAATCATGCATTTGACTCTGTTTCTAAAAGTGACCTTTCTTCCGTTCTGCCTTGGGTGTGTGAAAAACTGTATGCAATTTAAGCCTTTGCTTATTTTGGTGAATGTAAATGAGTTGATTTCTTCTCCATGTTGAAGGATTTTAGCTTTTAGGGGAACAGTGACAAGATTCTTGATCTGATACACTTGGGTTTTCAGTTGATTTCCATGTTTCTGTATGTTAAAGATTCAAGCGTAATCTACATGTTCATGTTCTGAATTCTGACACCCACTATATAGATATTTTCTGGCTATTTTCTTTGTAATTTTCATTCATTTTACTGGTGTTGGCCAGTTCTTGATGAAGAGGTTGGGTATATATTTAACATACATAATAAATGAACAAAAATCAGAGAAATTTTCTGGGTATCAATAAAGCCTTCAGACAAAACAACTTTCTCTACTAGAGACGGGATATTCATACCGGTTTCCTGGGAAAGACAAAGATGAATATCATCACCACAGGTGGCCAGGCTGATTGGACCCACACCACAGAACCAATCCCTCCACTTACCATTTGTGGTGCAGCACACAAGGCTGTCGTTGTGCCAATTGCCAAACTAGCCTGCCCAGGCTTCCCCACCCCCCTGTAATAATGACCAATCTAGCGAGGAGAAGGGATGAAAAGTCTTTTCTCCTCAGCAGTGCAGGGATGTGGGGAAGCCCTAGCCAGGCAACTTCCATGATTGGTGCAGAGTGAACCATGATAGCAGTGCACACCATGCCACAAGTGGCAAAGTGGAGGGCCTGGTTCTGGGGGGTGGGTCCCACTGGTCAAGCCAGCTGGCAGTATTTGTATCTTAAATTTTGTATCTTAAATATTTGTATCTTAATTTTTGTCATTTTTGCCATCTTGGATTTATGGTACAGTATATGTTTATTGGGTTTACTGTTTTCAAAAACTGTAATGCCACCCAGAGTAGACCTTTGGTCTAAATGGGTGGAGTAGAAGTCTAATAAAATAAATAAATACCGTAAATAAATATTCATCTCCCCTGGGAGACAAATGTAAATATCCCGTCTCTGCGTCTCTACCTTTTATTTTTCAGTTACTTAGACAAAACCCACCAATACAGTATATATACTCATATTTGATGTTTTTTATAATGCACACAAAAAAGGAAGAAGAGAAAAGGTATGGAACAAATACTTTCTCATATTACTAATTAATTAAGTAAAGAGAGAAAGGATGAACATTGTCTTGATTATTGTTACTCTTCTAATGAAATTAACTAAATGTCTGTTTGTCTATGCATTCATCTGTTAGTGATCATTCTTTATTTTCTTCTCTCTTTTTGGTCATAAGAACAATTGCCCACACTTTCAGACCATCGATATGACTCCTTATTACTCATGCATGGAGTGGACTGTAGCATTTATTATTACCCTCTGTTCTCTTTTCCTTAGGGTTCTAGGTGGACAGTACAAGCCACTAAAATGAACGCTGATTTTGTAAGTGGATAAGACTTATTCAGTCTAGTGGTCCTGCTTGCTTTGAAAACCAAAGTCAGTGATTTAAGTGATGGGGTTGGAGTGTAATAAAGGGTCACACACCTCTATAGATTTAAAAATAAATGCACCTCTAAAGAGACAATAATACTAGTCATAATTATTGTGAAGCATAATTGCATGAAATGAGAGCAATATAATATGGAATGGTACAGCAATGGAGAGTATCCCCAAATATATAATACCTTTTGACTCAGTGAGATTCCAAGAGTTCTGAAAGAATTTCCATTTGGCCTTCAGCCCTGCCTTAGAACAGAAGCAGAAGCAGCAATAAGAGCACAGCTTGGGAAAGTTAAGGGGTTCTGGTCCGGTCATGCTTGCAACATTCCCCCACTGTGGGTTAGGTGGAGAGATAATTACTTGCCCAAGACTACCCAGTGAGCTTCATAGCTGAGTGGAGATTTGAAATCAAAGCCAAGTCCAATAATCTATGCCTCATGGTCTTCCTCAACTCTTGGAAGACCTCTATCAAAATTTCAGTTTGTGATATTATTATCTTAGGGGTTGCCTGAGTGAATGGTTTCTTTAACTCATGGGTGTCTGGGACAACCCGAAGTCCCGGAATGAGAACCCAGGAATAGTGTCTATATAAAGAAGAGATGGGGGAATGTGAAACATCACATCATATTGATTAGAACCTCAGTTGGTTCCTGAAGGAGCATAAGGTTCTCATTAAAGTGCCACTATCAAGGGCACTGGCATACTAGTATACACAATAAGCCCACTTCGCATTAACTCTCTGAGATGATTGGGACCTTGGGTAAGGTGGGACGGAGGGCAGAGTTCCAGCAGGACCTTGTTGCAGCATTGAATACATGTTCATTATTTATTTATTTATTTATTTATTTATTGCATTTATATGCTGCCCATCTAGACATAGTCTACATTATGCATTGTGCCATTCATAAATGGGTACAGCCCCATTTTAAAACAAACACTGATTGTTTTAAAATGAGGCTGTATCCGTGTATGAACAACTTAATGTATAATGTGTGTCACTAGGAGAAGCTGACCAAATACATCTGGGTCAGGTGCTATAGGAATATTTGCTGCTGTGGAATCTCTGTGATGGTCTGCAGATGCCTCATTTCTAAAACATTGTTCCTTTCATGTCAAGGAGAATGTGGAGTCAACCATAAAAATAAACACTGAGCCACTGAGAAGTCACTTCAGCGGCTAAGAATCACACACACACACGCACACACACCTGCGCCCCATTTCCTGCCAATGTGTTAGCTGTCTGCTTCACTGATGTCAGTTCTGCCACAGTTGCTTTATCTTGTTTGCTTACCAGTCTCAATGTCACTGTGTTTCAGGCAGGATTCGTCCTTCAGCCTGACCAAATGCAGGTAGGCCAACGACTATTAACTGGTTGATCTTTCCATTCTGTGACTGCTTACAGTGACTGCACTGGTATCGCACCAGTTAGTCAGGCTGCAGTTGTCTTTATGATGACCTTGAAGCAAGGTCCCCTGAAAGCATTAATAAAACAAATAAAAATACTTCATTTGTTTTGCTTTTCACTCCTTCAGATTACATTTCTTTTGTTATTCATGTATTCATTCATTGTCATTACTCAGGCTTGCTTTCCTTGTCTCTCTTTTGCCTTTTGGTCATTTATTTGTCTGGTTGCTTTATTTATTTGCTGCTGCTTAGGATGCCAGCAGCAATGGTGCCAAGTTTGGTGGCTGCCTTCTGGCAGGGACCATCTATTTTCCCAGAATGCCCCAAACACGACATCCTTCATATGTCCTGTCTTAAAGAGTGCTGTATACTATGGGGCAGTATACAAGTTAAATATATAAATAAATATTTCTGGAAAATTCAGGATAGATGAGGGAACAGTAACCACTACACAAAATGTCTTACAGAGAGAGAGAGAGAGAGAGAGAGAGAGAGAGAGAGAGAGAGAGATGCATTCCAGAATGTCTTCAGCCAAAGGAACATCCACTGTATTCTGTGAAAATAATATCGTAGCTGCTACATGACAGCCACCAAATTCACTGAAAAGAAAGAAAGCCATCCCAAAGTTGAATGTTGCATGATGAATGGATATAAATGGGGTAACAAATGCGAACCCGTGCATACTATTCATTACTCATGGCATTAGTTCCATAACAACTGAAGGCTGAAGTAAATGGGCCCCATGGTTCAATTAGTCATTTGCTATGAAATGAATATATACCCCCTACATATATCTAGAAGGACAAAAGGCCTGAAGTGAGAAATAAGATGGGTGTTTTGATTGAAGAGTCAGAGTATTTCTTTTTGCTCTCCTTCAGTAAGTCTGTCAAATGGTTCTTAATGACTCTGCAGTGCAATCCCCTGCATGTTTCCTCAGGAGTCAGGAGCTCCTGTTCTCAGATGGGTTTTTCACCTATTGTGCTTAGTCTTACAGCCTTCATCATCATTAACTGCTAATCTTATGCATTCTGTTTCAGTTTTTAAATCCCCTCTTGATCCTAGTCTTCATCCCAGTTTTTGACTTCGGACTGTACCCCTTTGTCAACCTGTGCAAACTTAACTTCACGTGAGTACCCAAACTGCACAAAAGTGTGACTGCCATTTACACAAGTCAGTGCAAATTCAGACAGCCAGGCTCACTCCACTCCATTCTTGCAGGCTGTGAAAATATCTTTCCTACTAGGCATCAAACTATAATGTTTTAAGGAAGAGAAGGTAACAGGGGAGAGAATCTGCTTTAATTTCTGTAACTCAATATGTCTTAGTTTTCAGGCAGTAAAGCACATCAGGTAAACTTTACAGCACCTCTTACACATTGCTGCGTGGGCTTCAGCCCCCACTAGTTTCAGTAGTTTGCTGAGGAGGCCCCAATATTTCTATGCCCACTGGCCAAAATCCAAGACTATACCCATTTTCCTCTTATGAAACACTGCCCTTCACTGATCTGGTCACTTGGTTGGTCACAGTGGTTGAGTTTGCAACCACTGTGCAAGCAGAGGCCAAAATCCAAGACTATACCCATTTTCTTTTTCTGACACACTGCTCTTCACTCATCTGGTCACTTGGTTGGTCACATGGTTGAGTTTGCAACCACTGTGCAAGCAGGGACATGAAGGAGAGCCTAGGGAGGTGGGGGATGCTCATGCGACCACTCTTCTGCAATCTCATATGCCAGGATAGGTGACCTCAGATGGCTTGGGGGCCACTCCATTCTTTGTTTTGTCCCCTTTTGGGTTTTTTTTCATGGGCAGGGGTGGCCTTGGGCAGAGATCTCTCCTCGGGCATCCAATGTGGCCACCTCCCCTCCTTGGGGCTTCCATGAGCAGAAGTAGGCTATTTTTAAGGAGAGAGAAAATATATATTATTTGCCTTTTTAAAAGGGGGAGACAACGATTGGGGCTCAAAAGACGCCCTTGGGAGACCACACACTGTCCACCCTTGGCACAAGTAAACGGGATTCTTACTCCCATATATTTCTGTGTTCAGCCTTCCGAACTTGCCCTTTGTCTGATTGAGGATATTCATACACAGAAATCCTGCCTGGAAAATATCAGTCATGAAAGAGGCATTGGGAGATGTGCAATTTATTGCTTACATCCCTTCAGCTCTTGTAGTTCAATAACCTGAGGCAATTTTTCTGTCTCCCCAGAAGGGAGTTGCAGATAGATCACTGGGGCACTTTCTTCCACCTCGCACATTAACTAAATGCCAAACAACGTTCCTCCTGGAAGATAATATAAAACCTGGAAGCACCGAGCCTTTTTTGAACAACAGCATAAGAATTTGAATGGGCTTTGGTTATATCCTCATAATAATATAATGTAGAGGCTGTAAGTTAAAGAGCAGGTGGATTCAGCAGCACATAATTGACATGCCGCCCTTTCCTATGGCTTACTATGCAATGCGTTTGGACTCCTTAGAATGGCATGGTTCATCTTAATGTACTCATTGTTGTAAATGTTTCCAGTGGGACAGCTGTGTTTCAGCAAACACAATGAAGCATCTTGTGGCACTTTAAAGACTCAACAGGTTTATTTGCTGGAATTTGCCATGGATTGTGGCCCACTTCACAGAGGGATGCTTAAGTTGGCACATAATTATACACTATACTGTATGTATAAACATCTGCCCATTATGACAGCATCCTCTGCTCGTCTTTATGCTCAAATCCCTGGTTTGAACATAATAACGCTTTTTAGTCTTCAGGGTTCCACGTGTATAATTAGGTGTGCAATTTATTTACTCTCAGACCCATTAAAAAGATGGCAACCGGGATGATCCTCGCAGCCATAGCGTTTGCAGCTGCAGCTATTGTGGAACTCAAGATAGAGGTAAGCATGGAGCAGCTGCATGCATGGATGACGAAGTACATGCTTTCAACATCAATGTACCCACTGCTCTTTTTCAGACTCTAATTTTGTTACAAAAGTGAACGTGAAAATGGGTGAAAACTGATCTGGAGCAATTTGAATCGAAAATAGCTGCAATTAATTGAATCACTATGATTATGTCATTGGCTTCATTTTTCTTCTAATTAGGAAAATGCTATGCCAACACCAGTTCCCAAAGAAAGTTACATTCAGGTCCTGAATTTGGCAGACAGCAGCATCGAAGTGGCAATCCAAGATTATGGCCTATATCGGGAGCCAATTAAAGCTTTCCAGGTGAGTTTATGGGTTATTTCCCGTATTTGATTTTGTACTTAATTGCAGGAATCCTTTGTCTATTATTGCTACTGCTTCCTTATGACAAAGGAAAGATGCATTCCTTTCTATATTCAGAGGAACAACAGAATTTGACCTTCCCTCCCCTGCGTCTACGCTGCCATATGGAGAGATGGCACATACCTACAGGGCACTGTGCCTTTGACAGCAACCCTCTTCCCCCACAGTGTGTTTCAACAGAAAAGGCACAGATGGCAGACTACATTTACTTATAATTAGGAAAAAAGGTTAATTCTTCTGGGATGAATATATGCCAAAAGGGGAGGGGAGGCTTTATATGATCTATATTTTTCTATGCTCGCTCTCAAATAACATTTCAGTTTTGATCTGAAGGGAGTATAGTTGAACAAAAAAAATACAAAAGACTACGCAAGAATAATACAAAGAATGGAGCGATGAACTTGAAGTTTCATGTGAAAGTGTAGATCTCTTTGTTCCACATTTCTGTGCTTCTTGTAAGTATGTTCTGGCATACAGAGGATACAGCTGGAATATTCTGAATTGATTTGCTGCTGAAGGTAATTGAAGGAAAGGTTCCTATTGATATACTGGCTAAAATCCTGTTGTGCAATTTTATGCCACATAAGGCTGATGAGATCATCAGCCATGGTTGTTTTCTGGGAGTTAAAAGTTTCTGACCCCCACCTGCCCAAATTCTCAGGACCTCTTGGGATCCCTTTTGCCCTCTGGAAAATCTTTGGGCACAAGATGGAGAGCAGGGGAAAGTCTTTAATGTCCAAAAATAGCTGCTGGTAGGATGGTTTTACCAGCGGTGGCAATTTTTGGACATTAATGACCTCTCCTCCATCCCATGCCCTCCAAAGGTTTTTCCAGGACTAAAAGGATTCCAGATTCTGTTGTGCAATAAAAATTCAGCCTCTGTGTCCCGTTATCTGCTGGTGTTTATGTTCAAATCCCTCGTTGATTGGTTGGAGTAATATAAAAACTTGGACTTTGTTAAACAAAGTCTGGTCTGAAGTTCTTCTTAGCTTCCATTTCTCTAGTCCCTTCTCTTCTGCATTTGACCCTCAATACCTGTGCACCCAATTCATTTAAGTATGAGAACAGATGGAAGGGAGAGAATGAGCTTGTTTCCACGTGGGTAGTTCTGCCTGGAACAAGGATGGAGAGAGAATTTTGTGGCAGCTTGTCTAAATCCCACCAGCGTTCTTGTCCCCCTCTGGGATTTTGTGAATCTTCCTACATGGAAATTCAGATGCATTTTCTAGACACGTTTTCCTAAAGTATGTCCTCCATAGACATTTCTCATCTTTATTATTTATTTATTAGCTGTGTTTATATCCTACCTTTCTTCCAATGACTTCAAGGCACTGTTACGTAGCTCCCCTTCTCTGTGTTTTATCCTTACAACAACCTTGTGGGGAAGGACACAAGATCATTGAGTGAGTTTCATCTGGCAGTAGGAACTATAATCTAGCTCTCCCAGGTCGCAGTCCAGCATTCTAATCAGAATATCCCACTGCCTCTGAGTTTTCCCACTGATTAACACACATTTGGGTACATTTTTTCCATTTTATGCATTTTCAGATTTTTTTAAATTTATGAATAGCTTCTTATGTACAGTATTTTATTTCCCTGGAATGTACGGTCTGCGTCAGAAATTTACAAATATCCAAAGTTGCATGTGCAGTGAGTCTCAGGATGTGCAAGATGTGTACTTTAATTGAGAATATTGACTTCAATGGAATTATTTTCCATCCAGCATCTGGAATAGGGATGGAAAAGATATATACTAAATTCTTTGTTCTTGTTAATTTTGACTCTTTCTATATAACAAGATTCCTCATGTCCAGCTCAGAGCAGGACAAAGACCTGTTCTTATTCCGTTCAAGGTATCTACAACTCATGCAAAATGTGTTCAGTGTTCTTTCCCTTTAAGAAACAAAGTGTATAGACACAGAGAGAGAGACACAGACCAACCCCAAAGTGTATTATTCAGAAAAATACAAACAACCCATCCCATGCTTCACATTTTTTAAACAAAGAAAAGCTTTGGGTGACTGCATGAATCATCTTCATCATCCTAGTTTTGGCAAATTCTGCAATGCATAAAGGGCATAATTTTGCACAAATATTTGGCAGTTTTGCATAAAAGATGGGTAGCTTTGTTCAGAACATCGTTCTTGCCAAGGAAAGAACTCTATAGAGAATGTCAAGATCTTCCTCCTCACCCTTCTTGCAACAAGAGGAACATTGCAGTTTCTTGTCTTAATGTGTGAGGATAAGATGAGATGTGCCTATTCCTGCCACCTGGGCACGCAGCAGACCACACCACAAGCAGGAATAATATCTCAAAGTTGTCCCCCAGGCTCTATTAAGCCAGGGATCATATGTGTGTCCCCAGCACCTTGACTGCCAATTTAATTTTTTTTATGGGTCAAAAAACCTCTCACCCCTCTATGGAGGGGGGGGGCATTTTCGGCACATTTTGGAACCACCCCAGACATGTTAGGTAGGAGGGTTTACCTACTTCCAGGTTCCAAAACTGGAATTAAATTTTGCTTTTGAACACAATCCTCTCCTCAGCCTAGAATAGCTCAGAGGCATCCAAAAAGATGGCCAAATTTCTCTTTGCAACAATGGTATGAGGAGGCCATTTCAGGTTTTTGTTTTTTAAAGACTGATACCAGGCTGGGGTTAAACCAGGTGTGGTTCTGCAAGGTTCATATCCTAGGGTGTGGGCTTGTATAGCCCCTGGACATCTAGAACTTGCCCCCTTCTGTTCTATGGTGACACAATTTTGGAGGAGTGGGGTTTTGAAGTCCCCCAATGGCAATGTGTCCAGTGTGATGTCTCTTCCATCAGGAGACATGAAGAATAAGAGAAAGAGGTACAAATACAGCTATGTTAAATTACTCTGAAAATGGCAAAACTCACCAGTTGCACAAACTGATAACTTTCTCTCCCATGTCTGTCAACCTGTGGCTAACGCCTGTTCACAGAATGGAAGGACTGTCCAGGAATTCTAGACATCAACATAGCCAGAGCAGTGTGCAAAACCAACATTGCGGCCCATAAACAGGCCAGTGAGGAGACTGGACTTCCCAGATCTGTCCCTGGCCTCCCACACCCACATCAGCATCTCTGATTGGTACTTGGGATAGTATAAGATGGCTTTATCAAGTATAATCATAAATAAAATTTTCAGCTCTTCCATAATGTGCACAGGTATAGTGGAGCAAATTCACAATGTAATAAGTGATAGTGGATGAAACCCAATGAACAATGTGATTTATATTTGTTTCTTCATCACAGAATCCTCTTTATAAAAATATAAGTTAAACTTTTTTTTCCTTCTCCCCCCACTTTTTTTTAAAGGACCCTGAGGAATACTCCAAATTAATTCTGAGTAGTGACCAGCAACAACTTCATTTTAACATTCAGTCCCAAGGATCACTTTCCATGTTTAATCATACTGTCCAGGAAATGACAGTGAACACTTTAATTGTCTACAAGACAGAAGGAAGCCTAGCAAGCCAATTAGTAAGTATGGAAATCAAATGAAGCAAAGTCAGATTTCTGGGAAATCAAACAGTCCTCAACAGGCATCTCCAACAACTTCACCACACATAGTTTTTGACCCAACTAGCGGGGGATAGTGAGGCTTATAGGCCAACACATTTGGAGGACATCTGGTTGGGGAAGGGTGACTAAGGCTCTTGCACATCTCTTTTTACTTGATGTTATCAGTATCAGTCATCACTAATAATTGACTGGCTCCACCAGTGAGATGCTAATTGGTCTGAATGCATTACCAAGGGAATGGTGGTGTTGATTCATTGCAAGCAATTTCTCAATTGCTGATTGCATTTGTCTATTATTTGTTTTACAAATAATACTATGTTTTACCACTATACAGCTCCACAAAGTGTTTGAAATGGAAAGAAAAGGTGGAAGCAGGAGTAGAACAATTCTCTTTCCATTCAAAAAACCAGAGACTTAAAAGCATACTAGTTGTGGGAAGGAAACCAACCATGGTTTAGAAGCTAATCATCTGATGGTTGTTGTGGGGTTTTCAAGCTCTTTGGCCGTGTTCTGACGGTTGTTTTTTCTAATGTTTCGCCAGTCTCTGTGGCCGGTATCTTCAGAGGACAGCAACCAGAGCACAGAGCGCTGTCCTCTGAAGATGCCGGCCACAGAGACTGGCAAAACGTTAGGAAGAACAACCTTCAGAACATGGCCAAAGAGCCTGAAAAACCCACAACAATCATCAGATCCCGGCTGTGAAAGCCTTCGAGAATACATATAATCACCTGCCTTACTACAGTCTTATCGATATCATTATTATTATCCCATTTCTTGTGCTGCTTGTGTGCCCTTGCAGTTCCCATGCTGAACATGTGCTTTTCTAATGCAGAGAGTGTTCTTATATGGGCATTGTGATTATCAACATGTAGAAATAAACATCTTCAAAATATCATTCATATTATTTCCTACTAATATGTGATGTTCAGATTTCCCAGTGCTTCTCAACAAGATGTGGCAGTAGCTTCTGTCCCCAAGCTCTGTATGAGGTGTCCCACCATTTCTTTCTCATGGTGCTTCCACCAAACCAATATTTTTCTGGATTTTTCATACTGCTTGAAAGGTCCCTTAAACTAGAGTTGATCAGAAGAAGATCAGGGCTCAGCAATTTACTATATATTGGCAAGGGCTTCACATTCCATGTAGTTTAACAATAGCTTGCTCAGTTGTAGAATCTGAATATTAATTGGCTGCCTTTGGTCAGCTGTTTTGTTTTGTTTGGTTTGTTTTAGTATGGTTTTGAATTACAAATATATATCTATACAGTCGTGCCCCACTGAACGACTACCCTGTTTAACGACGAATCCGCTTAACGTGGAAGTTTTTGCGATAGCAAAAGTGATTGCAAAACGATGTTTAGATTGGGTTTTTTCGCTTCACGTTGATCGGTTTCGGGAACTGATTTTTTGCTTTACGACAATCAGCAAACAGCTGATCGTCGGGTTTCAAAATGGCCACCGGCTTTCAAAATGGGCCCCCGCTGTTTTCTAGGACAGATTCCTCGATATACAGGCACCAAAAATGGCCACCGTATGGAGGATCTTCACTGAATGAGCAGGTATTCAGCCCATTGGAACGCATTGAACCAGTTTTCAATGCGTTTCAATTGGTTTTTTTATTTCGCTTGACAATGTTTTCGCTCTACAGCTATTTTGCTGGAACGAATTGACATCGTCAAGCGAGGCACCACTGTATCTGAGCAGAGACGGGAAAAGTTACTCTGAGTCATGCTGAGAGACCTGATCAACAGTGACTCAAATACTGAGGTAGAAAATTTACCTTCTTTGGAATACAGTAAGAATTATAGAGAATTGGGAAGTGTAGTACAAGTAAGTAGCTTTTCCAATCTCTGCTCAGATATAGATATATATTTGTAATTCAGTATCTGAGGTAACTGATTCCAGCAGCATTGCACCTCCAACTCAACTCCTACTGTTTTCCACCATTTTAGAGAACTTTGAGGTTCTAGTTAAAAATAAACAAACAAAGCAGATGCCTTGAAGTCTGCCCACTGCAGTCTAACAATCTGCTATCACATGGCCTTACACTGATGCTTCTTTATTTGCCTCACCATAACACCTTTCTCAAGCTAATGTTGACTTGGCTCCTGGCTCTGGCAGCCTGTTCTATCTGTTGATTCTTCTTTTCCTTTCTCCTCCTTCCCCATGATTCTGGATCATGCAAAGTGAAACCGGCTAAGCATCATGGGTTTTGGTCTCAAAGTGAGTGTGGTTCAGAGGAGAGCAATATGTATCAGGGGACAACAAATCCCCAATGCAGCCAAGATAACTAGTACCTCTAGGGAAATGGGAAGGTTATCTCTCCCACTCTTTTTACCAGTGAGAGTCTCACAGGATAGGAATTGGATTGGATCCATCACACAATTTAAGTTATACATTAGAGCCTGACAAGAAGCACAACACCCACATCTCTGTTCAATAGGTTCCTATTCAATGCATTGTTTACAGATCCTGTGCTTTTTGGAAGGCCTTCGTGTAAGTCGAAATTACGTATTGATTTTGTTTTTTTCTTTGGTTTTAGGTTAAAGACATGGAACAAAAACCCACAGAAGGAATGTCAGCTGTGAGGTGTGAAGGGGCTTTGGGTGATCTGTTTCTTTGCAGCTATAATTACAAGGTTTGACAGAAACTGTTAACCCAAGCTTAGCCAAGGCATGGGCCTTACCAGTACATTATGAGTGAAGGGCGCCTTATGTGGCAATGAATGAAGTTTGCCATGTGTACACTTCTAAATAACTAATGGAGAGAAGCAAAGCCTGGCAAGAAATGCAAGGCTGTAGTGCACTCAGGAACTGATCAGATGTTGCCATGCATAGTTGTGCCATTGGGGACTGCTTAGGAAGGAGATACGGCAAGTGTGTCCCTTCTCTTATTGTGGTGGATTATGTCTCCTGGAATTCCTCACTTCTGGCGATGCCACACTTCATTCACCCACAGCTAGACTTTGAAAAGTTCCTACGAATCCCAGAATCCTCCAGCCAGTATGGTCAGAGGAGCCTCTGAGAGGCTCCTTATTTTGAACTCAGGCGGGTAGAGGGCATTGCCACTGGGAGAGCAGCTATATCTACTGAGTGTGGTCAACAGAAATGGCTGAGAACTTTGATTTAGTTTTCTTAAGGACTTGCCAACATTTACAATACTGCCTTCCTTCATTCAGATGGGAAGAATGGGAGGTTTTCAAAGTTCAAAGAAAGGCGAAAGCAACACTAATAAATTCACCCATCCTTACTCATCCTACACTAGCTATACCAATAGGCCCTATGGCTATAGTCACATAGTGAAAAGAAGCATATTTTACATGTCTGATTCTTTGTGTAGAATGCCAATTGTTATCTTTCCTAAGTACATCCCTGACTGTATATAAATGGACATCCAGCAGTGAGATCTCTCATGTTTCCTGTAAGAGATGCTAATCTCATATAGCTGCAGGAAATATTGTTGTCATCTAAAGACTGAAGTAGCTCAGAGACAGTGAGAATTGTCAAGTCTTTTGGTTCAGTTTTGTGTGAATAGTAATACATACTAGGCATCTGCCATCTAGATCTGTTCAATATTTGAAATGCCTGCTTTAGAAGAGTTCAAGACCTACAGGGGAAAATCGTAAGACTTGAGTCAGAAAAATCTCAAGAAACACTTTCCCAACAATTTTTTTCTTAAAATCTTGAACTGCAGTAGAATCTTCAGTCTTCCTCACAGAATATTTGAGGAAATGGCCTTCCCCAATTCCACTGTCCCAAATTTGCCATCCATGAATTTTTGATGCCCTGTCAGTTTGGTTTTATTATTTGATACGGTTTGAATAACACTGACCCAAGCAATGGGCCACACCTCTAGCAGTCATCCTTGTCATGACCCCTTGCTTCCTTCAACCTATTTGTATGGCTAACAATGCAGATTTGTTCCATTTTAAATGAACCAACATTTCTGAGAAGGCCATGTTCAGAGGAAGGCAGGCAGAGGATTTAACTTCCCTCTTGCTAGAATATCTGTCAAAATGCCATATCCTCAATTTTATTGCCCACAAATAGAGTGAAGACTATGAGGCCATTTTCCTCTGGCCACAAGAAACAACAATGCTATCCCATCAAACGAATTCTCCTTATCTGTCACTCCTAGATGCACATTTGATATAGTGCTGATGAACAGTCCCTCATTATTCTTATGCCTGTGCCATCTGTCTTGCTTTTAAATTGATTAACTGAAACAATGTTAACTGCAGGCAATCATTTTGTGAGTATTAAAGAAGGAAACCCCACCTTCCTCATTCTTTGAATAACAATTCAAATAATTTATTTAGAAAGCCGTCTTAACCACCTCGCTTGAATGGAGACATGTATGCAATACACTTGTTACAAATGTTGTTTCCATTAAACGGTCTTTGGAAGGAAAAATCTTACTGAAATTACAGCCCATGTAAAATCCTGCAATTAATGAGTTGATCAATTGCAATAATGAATCCATTGTGTTTTTCTGCCCTAATTGTTGTGGTATAATCTGCCTAACACCTGTGGGGGATCAAAACTTCCATCCTGCTGCAACGTAAAGCAATGCCTGATAGTCAGAAATAATGAGTTCAATTCTGCAGCTAATGGAACCTAATATTTCTAGTACCATTGAGTCAAGTGGGTCAACTCTAACTGTAACTTACTTTAGCACGGGAAGTTGCATTTAGAGTAAGCCTGTTTGAATCAACAGAATTTATGGAGGCGTTTATTCACCAAGTCTCCATTCATTCAATGAGCCTACACTAGTGCAATTTATTATGCTAAGCAATAGGATTTGGGTCATTGTATTAGATCATTGTATTAGAGATTATAATATCTGAAGATCATCATCAGGTTTAAGGTGTTCTCTGGCAGAGGTTCTTCTCAGCTTCAGTATACGTGAGTATTTAGTTGGCAAAATATGACCAAAACTCGGAGTAGGAACTACTGTTAAGCAGAATTTGCCAGCAGTTGCTCTGGTGTTCATGATCATATCAATGGGCATGGGCCTATGCTGAAGCACTGAGATATCCAGCCATTACCAATTCAGGTGCTCCTAGAATGTGTTCACAATACCTATAACTATACAGTGGTGCCCCGCATAGCGAGGTTAATCCGTTCCGGATTAACCTTCGCTATGGGGAAACATCGCTAAACGGAACAGGGAAACCCATTGGTTTTGTGTCCAAATGGGCACAAAACTCACCGTTCAGCGATGTTCCTCCATAGCGGCAGCCATTTTCGCGCCCTCGGTAAGTGAGGACAGGGCGCGAAAACGCTGCGCGTGGCCATTCTGGGTCGTCCGGTGGCCATTTTGGAACCGCCGAACAGCTGATCCCCCGACATCGCAATGCGAAGATCGGTAAGCGAAATGCTTACCGATCTTCGCAATGTGAGTTTTGCCGATTGCGACCGTCGGTATGCCTTCGCATTAGCGATCCCAAAAAATGGATCGCTATGCGAATTCATCGTTATACGGTGCGCTCGTTAAGCGAGGCACCACTGTACAGTCAAGTTTGCTTTTGAAAGGATCCAACACTGTGGGACTGTTTTGCCAAGATGTTTGTGAAATCATCCTACTAATGGAGGTGTCCCAGCATAATCAGTCTTGTAAAAAGAGCTGTCTATGACACAACGTCTCCTTGCATTAGAAGATAGCTGTAGGTTACATTACGCCATTCTCATGCTAAGGCCAAGCAGATGGACCCCTCACACTACCTAGAGGGGCCGCTGTTTGGGAACTATGCATAAATCACTCTGTATAGTTCAGTCCATAGTGCAGGAGTTTAGCATGAGGCTAAATATTCCAGAATGCTCCAGCTATATTGCAGGCGAAAGATGAACTAGTATGGAAATACTGTGAACTTGTATGGAAATACAAGGCATAAGAAACCTTGTATGATGACCAAGAGTACATCCCTCAGGCCTTCCCAGCTTCATTATCTAGGATCCTTTATTGACAAAATCAGATCACATCTGGGAACTTTAGCATGGAAACATGAAATTAACCCTAGCACGGAAACTATGCTCCATTGGGGATTTAACCAAAACACTGCTCTGTCACCCCAATGGAATATTTAAGAGGCAACAAGATCCATTTCACTGGCCTATTGTGAAATATTTTGACCAGCCTTCTTTCTTTCTTTAAATTGTTAGTAAAATAACGGAACAGCTCTCGAGTAGTATTTCCAGTGTCCCCACCACCACCTCTGAATAATAAGTACAGGTTCAGGGTGAGCAAAAACGTTAGATTTCTATTTTAAAATGACTTTGGGTTGGGTGGGAGTCTTGTAGAAAATGTCTCTTCCAGAAAGCCAAAGGCAGCCTCCAGGAACTTACCAGTTAAGCAAGTCTGCTGTACACGAAGTTACATGGGAACTGCTGTGTGGAGTGGTTCAGTATTCTCTCTACTGACATCATCTGGAGAGATTCTTCTGTAGAAGAAGCAGAGCTTGAGGGGACTTGGTTGGCATCCCTTATCATTTGTCCCCAGATGGTGCTTCCGAACCCTACACATTTGTTCTTTTCCTTTCCAAAATTCCCGGAGGCACCATTCCCACATAAACATATCTATATTATATTATTGATAATATTTAAATTATATATGGTATGGTAACTGTATTATAAATAATTATAATATATGTATAAAATAAATATAATGTATGTGACAGGAACACATCCTAAACACATTGGCCAGTATTCTGTGGTTGTTGTTTACTGCATAAAGAAAGGAAATTGCAGAAGTGGCTGCAGCGTGATGAGATAGATGGTGGTTGCATGTCAGTTGTGTGCTTGGTCATGTAATTGGCATGTGACCAGCACCTTGTCAATGAGCCATAGTTGCTTCTGAAATTTCTTTTCCAGGCATACTAACACAAGCAACAGGAATACTGGCCATTGCCTCTGTTTCACTCTTGAGGCTTCTGGGGAAGCTGGTAATATATCCTAAAGTCTAACCGACACAGGTATAGTCTGGCCACAACTAGAGTTAGTCAAAATACAGTGGACCCTCGACTTACAGACTTTTTGAGTTACAGACTTCTCTGGCTGCAAAATTTAGGTTCGACTTGCAGCCGGAGAATCAACCTACAGACCAGAAAAAAACACAAAACAGAACAAAAACGGAACAAAAATGGCTGGTTACAGATTAATCTGTTTTCAATGCATTGTAGGTCAATGGAGATTCGACCTACAGACATTTCGACCTGCAGCCACCGTTCCAATACGGATTAATTCCGTAAGTAGAGGGTCCACTGTAGGCAAGCTTAGGCCAAGCAGGCAACATAGGGAAATTCAAGTCAAAAGCTTTTTTATGCATAAGACAGCTGAAAAAATGGCTAACTTTGAGCCCTACTGCTAAAGCTTTCCTTCCTACTTCAATACCTCTTAGAAAAATGTTGCCTCAACAAGAAGCCAAAGCCAAGAGTACTGCATCTGACTGCTGTAATGCTCTCTGTGTCACTTCCTCTTGCACCTGGTTTGGAAACCACAGCTAATATAGCCAGGGTGCTCAGCAGAGGACCAACTATACACTTATGACAGCTGTTTTGCAAGAACTGAACAAGCTGCTTAACCTCTACTGAGCCACATTTAGGATTTTGTTGCTGACACACAAAGCCCTAAATGTCTTGGGATCATTATTTCTAGCAGACCATCTCCCTCCTTCCATATGTGCCCAATCAGTCACTGAGATCTCACCTCTAGTAAAATACCTGATGCTTTATTTTGTTTATTCATTTTCTGTTGTGATGAAGTCAAGTTTCCATCAGAGGGTCATTCATACTTTGGTCTGGAATGTCAACATTACTGCACATGCCCAGAAATGCTACCGGTACCTCATTAAGGTGTGGCAATTTGCCACCAAGACTTAGATAGTTTCCCTGACACAAGCATAAATTGGTAATATTGTAGGTATAGATATCCTAAGTCTTGTGTGAACTAACAGGATCTGCAATATGATTGGCTTCATCATTACAAGGGTGAGGGGATTACAAATGAGGAAAGGACAGTTCTTCCCTGAGGGAGGCAACTTGAAATATTGTGCTTATCAGAGTCCTTTATTACTCACTCTTAGTATCATGCAGTGAATAAGCAAGGACTTGGGAGATCAAGGCTTAGGTTTCCACTAATCCATGAAACTCACAGCTAATGTTGGGTCAGTCTCTTTCTGTCAGCCCAATCTACTTCACATGGCTCTTCTGAAGATACAATAGAGAGAGGAGTTACATCTACTCCATTAAATTCATTCAGTTAAAGACAAGATAAACAAATAACATCCTAGAGTCAAAGATCTTAACAGTATCATCGTTGTCTAAAATAGTTTGTGCTTACCTAAGATGGTGATCAGGAAAGAGTTATACATGAAGTGGTATCATGAGGTGGAGTAATTGTTTACTTTCTCCCATCTCACTCCAAGAGATTGTAATTCCCCATTCCCCAACTACCTGTTCCACTAAATTAGGATGGGATTACTGTATCTGCAACAAACATTTTCTTTCTCTTAAGAAGGCAAGAGACATCATTGCCTTGCCTTGAGGGATTTAAATACAGAAAAATACAGGGAACTGTGATTAATTAATAGTGTTTTGGTCTGGCAATCTTACCTTAAAAATTAAGAGATAGATGGAGCCTCCTATAAAATAAATGGCATGCCTCCAGTAAAATACCTGATGCTTTATTTTGTTTGTTCAATTTCTGTCATGATGAAATCAAGTTTCCTTACAGATTCATTAATACTTTAGGCCAGAATGTCAACATCACTCTTGGCAACGGAGAGTTTGTTAATGTTAACAGAAGTTATGGTGTTTCAAGCTATACGATCTTAACGAGGGGAAGGTAAGATTCGATTATCATTATCTGAGCCAACTCCTATGTCCCTTGTTAAGGTCAAATTACATGAGACACCAGTTCTGCAGTTAGAAGCAGAGCTTCCTTAAGAGATGAGGGGGTGTTTTATTATCTTACCATGAGGCTTCTGTAGCTCCATGTGTTGCAAATTAGCATCTTCCACTTCTTTTTGTATGGTGATTGGTCATCAGAACATGAAAAAGGGGCTTCATTTGCAAGTTGATGGTGAGGACCCTATAGCTTTGAAGGAATGTATCTCTTAAAGAGGGCAACATTTTATAACCTTCTAATTGTGAAGCTGGTGTCTCATATCATTTGGTCCTTATCCTGAGCTGATCTCTGGTCTCTAGCCCAGTATTGTCTACTATGGTAGTACAGGTAGTAGACTAGATGTCCAAGCTTGCATGCTGGGAAGTTTTGCCACCTTTTCTCTATCTCTTACCTGGAATGTCTAGAACTGAGCTTGTGACTTTCTACTTCAAAAGTAGGTGCTCTTATACTAAGCAGTGATCTCTTCCCAAGAAAGCTGTATGCATGATGCATATCTTGATAGCATGTATGAAATGGATAAATACAAAGGCAGAGTGCTTATAGCTCTACAGACTACAACCACTATAGGCCCCAAACAGCATCACCAATTATCAGAAATTCTGGGAGTTTTAGTCCAGTAATACCTGCAAGCCCAGAGTTTTCTCAATTAGAACAAAGGGTCCCTGTTTGGGCCAGTCCTTGTGATTGACACCTCTAGCTGAAAATTAGTGCAAGCAATCAACTTTTATGGAAAATCTATGCTCCTTCTCAGGCAGAACTGGCACAACCAGATCTTAATACTAATGAATTAAAAGAAACATGACATAAAATGTTTTAAAAATAGATTTGAATGCCTGCTAGGTTCTGTAAGAAAAGCAAGCTAGTATATGATTAAATATGAATCTTAGAATCAAAGAATAATGGAGTTGAAGGGGACCTATTAGGCCATTAAGTCCAACCCCATGCTCAATGCAGGAATCCAAATCAAAATATATCTGACAAATGAGTGCTTATTTTTTCTCTTGAAAGCCTCCAGTATTGGAGCGCTCACCAGCTCCTAAGGTAATTGGTTTCATTGTTATACTATTCTAACAGTTGGAGGTTTTTTCTGATATTCAATTAAAATCTAGCTTCCTGTAATGTACAGCCATTATTACATGTCCTGCATTCTGGGATGACTGAGAACAGACCCTGCCCCTCCTCTTTATGACAATCTTTCACATATTTGAAGAGTGATATGACAATCCC